CAACGCAGCATTGTCTACCTATCGATGGCTCATACTCTGCAGACTTCGCATGCTACACTGATTATCTCTCGATTACATCCCTCGGACGGGGGCTTGAACACGCTGATAGATCACATTGTACGGAGTAACATCGAGTGACACCGGACTGCGACGTCGGAACTCAATTACCCTTGCCGAGGAGTGTCTCAACACAGCTCCGAACACTGTGCGGACGGCAACTGAGGCTCATCCAGATCCCATTTGCACGATGATTAAGATGATTGACAGACACTGGCTGTCGGCCCTACAACTGTGCAGGTGCTGATTCAGAGCAATTGTCGGGCATTGGGTCGTAGAGTGAATTATATGGAGATTGAGCGCACACTGTCTTCCCTTGTGGATGGCCAATGGTACCGCTACCTTTTGCTTGCCTGCCCGGTACCGGGCATGGGCATGATATTATGAGCCGAACGATACTTGCGATACCCTGTTCTGCAGAGGCTGTCAGCGGAATACGACGGCAAAGGCGGAATACGGCAATATATTGGATATGAAGTGCCTACGACGTCGATTCAGGAAATCGCTGATCTTTCAATTCAAGATAGCCCCGAATTCGAATTTGAAGGGAAAAGAAAAGAACAGAAAAGGAGACGAACAAGAAACCATCTGGAAGCACAAGACAAGCCAGGATACCAGGCATGGCGTAAGCAACCACGCGAAATCTCATTGCACAGCATGTGAAGCTTCATATCCAAATTGGCAAAAAGGACATGCAGCATGATAGCCCCAAAGGATCAGGAACGCACTGTACGAGTTATCGATCAGGCTCTAATGGTACTTGCGATGGCAATCTGCACATCAAGCAAGCCACAGCCACACACGCACACACACGGAATTGTCAGCCATCGCCGTTGCTCGATGGATCCGGCCTGGCGCTTCAAACGTCTTTCAACGCCAACCAGAGTCCGTCAGCCAGACATGATCCAGCACCAGCATCGTCCCTTCGCTTGGCCTTGGGCCCGCAGCGTTCAGTAATTCCGCTCTCCAGCTGGACCCTTGTACGATCCACTGCGGACGAACCCCGCACAGACAGTCTCCAGAATAGGGAGCTCGAAAGGAGCCGAGGCATCTCTTCGTCAGGCTACCAAAGGGGAGAGGAGAAACAGCGCGGATCTGGATCAGTTTGAGATGATGAGATGATGATGTGCGTGCTTCCCCGCGCTTCAGCCGCTTCAGGGGAGGGGAGCGGATTTGACGGGCCAGTCCGCGGGCGGAGGCTCGGGGTGTTGTAACCGGTCCGGACTGCTGCTCTGTCGAGGCAAGGGGGCAGCAGCATGGAAGCGAATGCGGATGATTCCAAAGTATGTCAGGATCATAAGTGTTCTTGTTGGCAGATCTGCTTCCAGTACCCCAGATTGCTGACTGAACAGCTGTGAATATGAACGATCGGATGAGCACAAAAGCCAAAGCATGGAGATGGTGTTTGTCGGAGATGATGCCGCTTCCATCACCAATTCCAGCACTTACACCCATGGCCAACACCGAATCACGGACAAGACATGGAAACAAGTCGTCAACTCTCTCGCAAGCCTAACCACGCTTCCCCCTCCCCGACCTGGTCCCCACGGAGACCCTAACCAAAGGCCGGTCCCTTTCGTGCACGCATGCTACAAGTACGCATGCAATATGCATGACGCCGTTTCCACCGCCGCCTGTCCGCCCTTGCTGTGGCCAACACAAAAGAAGGGCAGGGCAAGGCTTGAGTAGAAATAACAGTCACCTTGGGGCTTCCCTCTTGACTCAGGGTTTCACTTTAGCTCCTTCCTCCTTTCTTCTTCCCTTTTGCCTCTGTGTGGGCTTGGTCTTGTCTTGGTTTTGTTGTTGCTCAGTTTTGAGGCGTGGCATTCTGCGTGCTTTGTATTTGCAAAGTCACATTTATTTTCTGCGTTTCTGCGTCTGCATGCGTATTGTTGCGTTACCTGAGTCGCCCATATCCGCGAGGTACATTCGTCTACATCGACTTTCGACCTCCAACAGCCCAACACAAAAAGGGAAGAAAAAAGTGTGAAGAGGTCGTCAGGGAGGCCATATTGCCTGAATGCCGAGGCTCCTCCTCAACCACACCCCCAACCGGCGGTTGTCCATTCTTGGATGGGCATCATGAGATCTAATTCGTCTAATGAATAATAGAGTCGCAGAGAAAAAAAATTAGGGTCACTCTCTAGGGGATACTAAGGAATAAACTGAGGGGGAGTTGACCTGGGTGCTTTCATCCGGGGGAGAGGACCAACAGCAGTCTCATGCTGAATTCCATCTCACTCTATCTTCAGCAGGAAAAAAGAGGTGATTTTGAAAAATTTCAAGCAATGCCAGGTAAGGGATTCTTATCGATTCTATCACACAATACTTCATCCCATGAAAACAGAGGAATCAACTGATACCATGCCAGTCCCGCTCCCCGTCCTCATCCCCGCGGCGGCCGCCTCTCTGGCCTATCTCAACGCCAAAAGCAGCTTCTGGTACGACGCAGCGCTCATCAAAAGCGTCGTCAAGGCGTCTCTCCGCGTGCGGCACGGCCTCAAAACTGACACAATCAACCTCTTCTACGCCCTGGAGTCAGCAGCCCTGAGCCGCCGCCTCGCCAACAAGCCGTTTCTCATCTTCGAGGGCAGGACGCACACCTATGCCCAGACTTACGACAGGGTCCTCCGGTATGGCCACTGGATGAGGAAGAGGTTCGGCGTGAAGCCGCAGGAGATTGTGGCGATGGACTTTGAGAACTCGGACACCTTCATCTTTGTGTGGTTTGCGTTGTGGTCGATTGGTGCGAAGCCGGCCTTTATCAACTACAATCTTACTGGGAAGCCCCTGGCTCACTGCATCGAGGCGGCGACCACGAGGCTCTGTCTCATCGATCCTGCTGTAGCCCCAAATTTCGAGGATGAGAGCGTGAGGCAGAGTCTGCCCAATGTCGAGTTCATCGTCTTCACGCCCGAGGTAGAGGCCGAAGCCCTGGAGACAGCTCCGGAGCGGGCCTTTAATACAGATCGGTCGGACGGCACCATGGCCAGCATGGGGATGCTCATCTACACCTCGGGCACGACTGGCTTGCCTAAGCCAGCTGTCGTCTCATGGGCGAAGTGCATATATGGAGGGATCATGGCCGCAACGCTGCTGAACCGTGGCGACAGCGACATCATGTACACTGTAAGCCCCCCCGCCTCCCCCCTTTTCTCCTTCCATCTTTCCCCGTCAACTGGCCCAGATGTCCACACAAGGAAACATGCCTGGCTAACATTCGCCCAGTGCATGCCTTTATACCACTCCTCCGCCGCGCTCCTCTCCGTCTGCGCAACTCTGTTGTCGGGCTCGACCCAGGCGCTGGGCCGCAAGTTCTCGACGAAGCGCTTCTGGGACGAGTGCCGCGCCTCCAAGGCCACGTCGATCCAGTACGTCGGCGAGACGCTGCGGTACCTGTTGGCGGCGCCACCGCAGCTGGACCCTGTCACCGGCGAGAACCTCGACCGCAAGCACAGCGTGCGCATGGCCTTTGGCAACGGCCTCCGCCCTGACATCTGGGATCGCGTCAAGGAGCGGTTCGGCATCGAGACCATTGCCGAGTTCTACGCCGCCACCGAGTCGCCCGGCGCCGCGTGGAACGTGTCCAGCAACGACTTCGCCCGCGGCGCCATCGGCCGCTCTGGCTGGCTGCACTCGCTGCTGACGGGCAGCTCGTCGGCCCTGGTCGAGGTGGACTGGGCCACGGACTCGCCGTGGCGCGACCCTGTCACGGGCTTCTGCCGGCGCGTCAAGCCCGGCCAGCCCGGCGAGATGCTGTACCGCCTGCCGCCCGACGACATCGGCCAGCGCTTCCAGGGCTACTTGAACAACCCGGGCGCCTCAGACGCCAAGATCCTGCGCGGCGTCTTCCGCCCCGGCGACGCCTGGTTCCGGTCCGGCGACGTGCTGCGCCGCGACGCCGCCGGGCTGACCTTCTTCAGCGACCGCATCGGCGACACGTTCCGCTGGAAGTCGGAGAACGTGTCGACCGCCGAGGTCAGCCAGGCCGTGGGGCTGCACCCGGCCGTCCGCGAGGCCAACGTCTACGGGGTCGAGCTCCCGCACCACGACGGCCGCGCGGGCTGCGCCGCTGTCTGTCTCGATCCGCCCGTTCCCGACGAGGCCACGCTGCGCAGCCTGGCTGCCCATGTGAGGGCTTCGCTGCCGCGGTACGCTCGCCCCTTGTTCTTGCGGCTTGTAAGGGACGTCGGTGTGGGGAGTCAGACGACGGGGACGAACAAGCAGCAGAAGCAGAGTCTGCGGGCTGCGGGGGTGAGACCGAGGATGAAGTCTTCTGGAGAAGGTGGTTATGAAGGGGAGACTGAGACTGATGTATACTGGCTGAGGGGCGATTCGTATGTTCCGTTTAGAGAGAAGGAGTGGAGGGAACTTGAGGGTGGGAGGGTGAAGCTATAGTGGCATGTTGCGTTTATCAATTCAGCGGTGTTAGAGGCTCTTTGCCTTACTTGCTTTGCTGTTACTTTTCTTTCAATGTGGTTTGTTTAGTATTGTTAATGTAGCATATATAACTTCACGGTGTACTTCTAATGCTAGAACGGAGAGACAACATTCTCTACTAGAATATCAAGTATCATATCTCTATCTCAGTCTCTTTTTACTAGGTGAAATAAATATCAATAGGTAGCCCTCTTCCACTCTGTTATAGTATGAACACATTTTCTGCCAATAATGCTTCATAACCTCATTCATGTATATATATATGCCCTAGACATGCCTTCCGAATCTTAATCAAAACAGAAAAATTAACAACAAGCGTAGTATAAACAAGCCGCGTTTCCTCCGTCAAAGAAGACTATATATATCTACATAAGATGATTACAAATCGCTCATGATATAAACATCAGAGTTTATCCAGCTATAACCCTCTCCACCTCGCTTCACGAGCCTCTCCCAACCTCACTTTCATCCGCTTTCTCTTCTCCTTCTTCTTCTTATTCACGTCATCATGTCATCTAGATAACTCCCGGTCCGGCAATCCCCAGCCCGACGCGCTGGCCGCCGCCGCCGCCGCCGCCAGCCTGGCCTCCATACCCGCCAATGTTGGCAGCTCCCATGCCTGCCGCGCCCCCAGTCCCCGTCCCTGTCCTCTCCCGCATTCTCCGGCCCTCCATGAGTCCTCGCAGGCCCCTCTTCTGCAGCCCAATAACGCTGCTGAGCTCTCCGTTCCAGATGACGGCGTCCCGCTCGGTGTCGCCCATCTCGGATCCCCATTCGGACCCGCTCGTGCTCGTCGAGGCAGACACGTCGCCGCTGGATGACCGCGTCGGATGCTGCTGGAGGCCCGATACGCTTAGGCTTCCTGTGCGCGAAGCCAGGTCCGACATGGAGTCCTTGGCGGTCGTGCCGCTGAGGGAAAAGTCTGACGTGGACACCGGAGACCCGATGGGGTCCAGGCTGCCGACGAAGAAGTTGGGGTTCAGGGTCCCGTCAATGCCCCGTCCTCCACCAGCGGCCATGGCCGTCGCATTGAACACCGCCGCCGCGTTCCTACTGTCGAGGAGGGCATGCAGACGCTCGACGACGGCTTCCAACAGGCCGTCGATTCGATATGGCCGCGCAATCTGGAGCAGAGAGCAGAGGATCTGCGGCGTGCACAGCGCAGAGGTAGGCGAAGGTAAGGAGCTAGTGTACAAAAAGTGCAGCAGGGCCTGGATCGTCAGGTACGTGTGCGGTAGGTAGAGGCATCGCGGCCTCGAGTTGGGCATCAGGCTGCGAGGCGTTGGGGCGCTGTTGGCGGCTGCAACTGCCTCGTCTCCGTTTGCCGTGCCGGCACCGCCTCCGTGATGGATCGGACCGGAGAGGCCAGACGGTCCCGAGAAGGACCCTCCTATAGAGCCCCCCGTGCTGCCCACCAGCGTCGACGAGTCGTCAAAGTTTCGATTCGGCGTGATGGTCAACGCTGACGTCCGCATCGGATTGCTCGACAGGCCGGACCGCAAGGTCACAGCGTCGCTGCCGTCCTGTGTTGCCGTGCCTTCTCGCAGCAGCTGGACAAAGTAGGGGCCCCATCGCCGCGCCACGATTCGCGAATTGACCGGTATCCGCTCGCCGCCAATGCACAGGATGTCCATGTCGGCGAGCTCTCGAAATGCGAGAACCTTTTCTCCCAGGTCCTCGCTTGCCCGAGAGTGGAAGCGGCCACCGGCTGTAGAGCCAGCCTTGCGCGCAAGACTCAGACTCAGACCAGAGTATGGGCTGCTGGCAGAGACGAAGCCGGACATGGGGTCAACCTTGCGCGGGTTGTCATAGAAGCCAAATGCCTCCAGCTCCACCATGCAGACGTTGGAGAAGTTGATGCGCCGGTGGTTGTAGTCGTCCACTAGGCTCCTCTTTCTGTTGCCGAGAATAACAAACGTATTCCGTCGATTCCACAACACACCCCTATTCCAGCTGCCCTGGCTGAACACGCTGCCCCCCGCATCGATGCGGCTCCAGGTAAGGGACCGAAGATCCAAAGCCCACAGCGCGTATTCTTGCTTCGAGGACGTGAGGTACGTTCCGCTAACCACAAAGTGAGTATCGATGATGCCGCCGTTGGGAAAGCGAAGGCCCGGTGGCGAGTACGTTCCCGACATGGGCCGCTCCGTCAAGGTCCCGTCGGGCGATCGAATCTGAAGCTCCAGCTTGACATCCAAGAAGTTGTAGTTGGAGTAGATGAGCATGGACGATCCAGGCTCCTGGCCGGCGGTGCTATCGTTTCGCTGCTGGCCGTTTTGGGCATGCATTCCGATCCTTGCGCTGACAGCGGGAGGCAGCGCGGCAGCGACGCTCCTATAGGCGCCGCAGCTCTTGCCCAGCGGCTGAGTCGTCGTCCACTTGAGGCTCCTGAGGTTGAAGACGCTAATCTGTTCAATGTAGTGGTTTGCGCCATCCTGGCCTCCAACAATGACCAATTGAGCGCCCCCCGTGCCGTCAATGTTGATGCCGATGCGGCCCTCGTTGGGGTTGCCGTTGGACGGGTTGTGCTGGAGAGCCGAGAGAGGGGCGTCCTTTGAGGAAAAGGTGGCGGACGAGGAGAGGATGCATGCGCAGTGGGCATACCGGCCCTGGGGCGTCTCTTGCGCCTGGACGTAGGACCACCGCTTGCTTGGCACGTCGTATATGTGAATGTCGGACATGACGGTCACCTCGGGCTGCTGCTGGTCCGCCCCCATGGGCTGGTTAGGCGCCGGGGACATTCCGCCATAGCACACCATCTTGGTGCCCCCAAGCGCGCACATGGAATGGAAATATCGAGGGGGCGGGATGTCGCCCGTCACCTCCAGCTTCGTCCAGTGGCGTCGGATGAGGTCCAGCTCGTAGAGGTCGGAGGTGAGCGGCGCGGGACGGCTCCGGGAAAGGATACGGCCGCCAAAAACGTACAAGCTGTCGCCTAGGATCGTCGTCGTGGCCCCAACCAGCGGCGGAGGCTCCTGGCCCGTGGTTCGGTGTACGTTGCACATCAATCCCGATAGATGAGCCGAGGACCCCTGGGAAGGACCGCCGACGGGCGTGGCAGATGGTCCTTGAGCCTGCTGAGACTGTGCCTGTGCCTGCGCCTGCATCTGACCCTGCGCAATCGCGGGCGACATGCCTGCCGATACAGAGCCGTTGCTCCTCGGCGTCAGCCCCTCTCTATGACCATCTCTGTATTCGTCAGGGCCACCACCGTATCTCGTCGCGCTCAAGCCAGCCATGTTGGCGCTCATCTCCTGCATGTAAAAGTTGTCCTGGCCCGAAGAACCGTATGCCTGGTTGCCGGCGCTGGGGCTCATCGAGTCTACGGGGCTTATTCGGTGATCTTGGCGGGACTCGAGAAAGCGGTTCTGGGGCGGTTCTACGGCGCCGATGCTCTGAGAAAGACTGTCGAAGATGGGGAGGGTGACTGACGGGGGCGTCGAGAGGCTTGTTTCGGCGGGCGGCTCCGGTAATGGTTTCTCGAGACTGTCTTGCAGGCTCAGCTGTCTCCCATGCTGGTGCTGAAGCCTAGACACGGACGCTGCTCTCGCTTTGGGATGAGGTGGAAGGCCACCGCCTGATGCTGACGTTGCGTGGCTCTGGAATGTCTGGAGGGACGGCTTTCGAGGGAGCCTGGCAGAGGAGTGGGATCCGGCTGCTCGATATGCGCTGTCGGTATTTCTGCTGTGATGATCGGTCTGCAGGCGGGGGTCATTGGCCCCAGAGTCGGGATAAGAATAGAAGCCGTTCGGTGATGGGCTCTGGAAACCTGTCAGTGGTGCGAATTCGGCCATGGCAGCGGCCAATACGTCTCGACGCGCCAAGCGGAGGAGACGATGCCGCAAAGATTGCGTAGGGTAAGCGCCGAAGCAAAGAAAGGGGGGCGGGCGTGCGATGGTGAAGACTCGAACCACGAGAGCGAGAGGGTAGGGTTATAGAAGGAGATGAGATGAGAGAAGGACAGAAGAGAGGAATGTCAATTCCCTTCGAGGACGCTTGTCAGATTGATCAACCCGTTCCTGGCCAAGGCACAGCGCATGGGGAGAGGACCACTCGCTTGGGACCTAGGAAGAGAAGCCGGCCGGCAGGGGGGGAGGATTATCCTGACCGCACCGTGGCCAAGTTTTGGAGAGATCAGATGCGAAAGCGACGGGCGCTCGCCACAGCCTCGCCCGTGTCTCCTCGGACCCGGCAGAGGGTTTTCAGGAGCCCGGCAGGGCGATCCGGGGGGCCGAGAGAGCGTCGAGCGAGGAGCAGCGTGGAGCAGCCGGGCAAGTGGGTGGAAATGTGGTCAAAGGGTTGCGCGATGATCTGGCTTCGAGCTGTGTGTGTCGCAAAGGGGGCACGGGAGCCGCGCAAAAGGGAGGAGGCTGGCCAACGACGGGCCAGACGAGGAGATGCCGCATGACGTACCATTCAAAGACGCCTTTCCGAGGGCCAACGTCGCACTCGTTGCTGGTGATGCTGCGCTGCCCGTTTGGCTGGCGCGATGGAGCTGACGATGTGGGCTGGAAAAGAGGTTCGAGCAACGAGCAACAAGAAAAAAAATAACCGTCTAATGCGCACAGACGCGAAGAAGGGGGGTTGTGGGCTTTGTCGAACAACTACAGGTGCTGAGCCGGTACCGCTACAGGCGCTGGGACTCGCTACGGGCTACTGGCAGAGGGGGATGTGCGGGCTCTGATAGGCTGGCTAAGGGGGTGGGGTTAGCGGTTAGAGCGTTGGAGCAGTTGGGGGCTATAGCAGGAGGAGAGATGGAAAAGGCGAGAGTGCGAGTGAGAGAGAGAGAGATGGATGGAGTAGTATCGTAAGATGAGTTCAGTCACGTTGGGTAAGGTATGGCTAAGTAGGTAGTACAGGATCCAGGGTGAAGGTGAAAGAAGAAAGACGAGGACGAGAGACTGGACACGGAGTCTGTGAAGGGCTGCGATAAGGCAAGAGTACTCGTACCAAGAACTGCAGGGAGCATGAGTGCTACCGGTTAGCGCCAGACCCTGGCATGTCGGGGTTCCGCACTCCGTGTTCCGTGGATGCACTGTGAGATGTCTGTAACTGTACCTGCATGCGAATGCTGGATGCAGTACCTACTGTACCTAAGTGGAAAGGAAAAAGATTGAGAGCCACATGGAAGGAGAACGAGAACCATCTCACTCGTCGCTGGCATGTGCTGGACCGAGGGTTCTGCAAATGGCAGTTTGCATGAATTTAATCTAGTCAATCTGTTCTAGAATAAAAGAAGGCGGCACTAAAAGTACAGGTACAGCAGCAACGTGGGAAAGTCCAGGTACGTGTATGTACCTTCATCTTGTCACTCTCCGACCTTTCATGTTCCTTGTTTCCATTCTGCTTCTTCACCACGCAACAGACGACAGGCAAGACAGGCGGGAAAACAATCAAGATGAACGAAAAGCGAAAAGAAACAATCGACAGGCCGCTCTCCATCCAACTTGATCAATGCATGTCACAAAAACGTGCCTTGTGAGCAACAATCCGCAGTCCAAGCAGTTCACGCACCCGCTCCATCGGCATCTGTGCGACAACAAGAGAGACAACAAACACGACCAAGCAACAATTGAAACAATTGAAACAAAGCAAGAAGCCACCCGCCAGACGTCAAAAAAAAAAACGGATCGATTGCCCACCAACAGCTTTTGTTGACGCCTTCTAGCTCGTCCGCTAATAAGGTTCTCACCAAGCCAGCATGACTAGCAAACCGGTCCGCACTTCCTGATGTGCTCCTCCATCTTCTTTACTAGTACCCCCCTCGCCCGAAGACCCGCGGATATTACTTGCGCATCATCTGGCTCGATAGGGGTCTTCGCGCCGGTCGAACTACTCTTACTGGCTTGGAGTAAGCGGTAATATCTCGTGTGTGCTTCTGCAGGTTTGCAGGGGATGGCGGACCTCGCGATCACCGCGGAGCTGCTTGCTATATCGGAGGCTTAAAGTGGAACGAACCACACAGCTCCAGCCTTTATCTCTAGGACATCGTTTGTATGAGCACAAGTATGTTTCCCCTTCAGTGTCCAAATGGTTGTGACGAGATGTCGGGATATGTAGTCGTCTCCAATTGCCGGCTGACGCTGGGGCCGCTTCCTTGCGCTTGCAGTTTTGACGCCGATGTGCGTCAATTCGTCCCTGAAGTGATGTGATGTGACGGGAGCTGTGCCATTTCTTTGTCATATCCACACTCTTCCATGCTGCTTCTCTCGAAGCCCCCAGGCATTCCATCACAGACAGTTACTACTAGCAGGAATTACCACCGGCTCATCATCTTATTTGCTGCCGCTGCTGCCAAGTCTCAAGCCAAGGGTCTTGGTTGTTCAGCCCGGGCATATCAGCACGTGGGATGGGCTGGAGATGCTTCCGGGCCAAGCCCACTCGACTCTATTTTGAAACAGGCCGGCCATTGTCTAGATCATGGCAATGGAAGACGTCAATTCGGCATACTGGTCTCTACGTGATTCTCCGAAGGAGCTTCATTCGACTTGTCAGTTCAGTCATGCCCTGTCCCGGCAAGAGGTCGGTCTCGACTCAACGACATACATACAGGAGGTATTTACGGGAAAAAGCAACGAGAAGTTCCCTGCAGACCATGGAGGACAAACGGATGCATTGATGATTTCCCCGGTAAATGCAGTCCAGCATGAGGCTCGTGCCGTCCGGCAGTTCAACTCGGAGCGTCCCTGATCCGTTATTACCTACTGATGCATCAATGCCGATCACTCATAAGCCATTCTTGGTCCATCAGGCCATTATTATTCAACTTCCTTCTGCCCTTCTGCTCCCCCGTCTTCTTCTCCTCGGATCTCCCGGACTACTGCTACAAGTCAAGATACCGAACCCTGGACACTCGTCTGCATCGCCATGATTCGTGTCGGCGATGCGACCTGCAATCCGCGTGGCCTTTGCAGTGCTAGAGAGGTGGCTAGCCTGGCCCTGAAACATTAGCTGAATGGCTCTGTGGCTTATGCCTCATCAACTACTACTATGTACTGGCTGTGACCAGGTATACACAATAGCTGACGCTGGATCCGGATTAGAAAAGCTGCTGAAGATGCGATGTGAACAGTGCTTGATACCTTTGAAAGTGGGTATTTGCTAGCAGACAGGTACGGAGTACACAACACGAAGCTTCCGCCGACAACTTGAGCTGGTGAGAAGATCATGTGATTACATAAGCGATTCTTCAAAGCTTCAGGGTAGCATGACAGAAGATGACCCCATACATGTCCTGGACCACTATCAGCGATTGAGGATGAATTCCGAGTTGTTGGACAAATTGCAGTCTCCCTGTCTTTCAATCTCAAGAGATCTTGAATTGGCTAGGCTAGTTCCAATTTTGATACGACTTTACCGCAACGTCTTTAAGTCCTCACCACCTCCACATGTCTCAATATTTACATTTGAGCTTCCAGACGAGAAATCAAACATTGCGTGAAAAAAATTGGTATCTTTTACTATATAACATCATCATTGCCCTGCCCAGACCTTCTTTCGGCTGTGACGAAGTATTCCTCTTATCTGGTTTCGCGGCACGGGTTCAAGAACAGTCGACAAGGCATGCCGCAATGCTCTCTGCCCCCCCTGCTCTTCATCTTCAACCTGACAAAAGGTGCTGTGCAGGGCCATTGCTTTTTTGTCCTTTTTGATATACATTGAATTTTTCTCCAAGGCTCAAACGTCTAAGAAACCTCGGGCAGGGGAGTGAAGCGCAGGTAGGGCTTGACGGCGCGGAAGTTGGGGAACAGCTTCTTGGCCTCCTCGTCCTTGATGACGGGGGCGACGATGACGTCGTCGCCGGGCTGCCAGTTGATCGGGGTGGTGACGCGGTACTTGTCGCCGGTCTGGAGGGAGTCGATGATGCGCAGGACCTCGTCGGCGTTGCGGCCGGTGGAGGCCGGGTAGGACAGGATGGTGCGGATCTTCTTGTTGGGGTCGATGAAGAAGACGGAGCGGATGGTGAAGGCGATGCCCTTTTCGTCGACGTTGGTGGCGTCCTGGCGGTCGATCCTGTTTGGTGGGTTGTTAGCTGCTGCAACACCGAAAAAGATGGGAATTGCCCATGAACCAAGTGGAAAGAAATCGACTGGAGAAAGAGACAAGGAGAAAAAAAGAAAGAAAAGAAAAAAGGGACTTACATGTCGTAGAGCAGGGAAATCTGGCGGTCCTTGTCACCGATGATGGGAAAGGTGACGTGGCCGCCGGTGACGTCCTTGATGTCCTCGATCCAGCCCTTGTGCGAGTCGACCGTGTTGGCGGACAGGCCGATGAGCTTGACGCCGCGCTTCTCGAACTCGGGCTGCAGCTTGGCGAAGGCGCCCAGCTCGGTGGTGCAGACGGGGGTGAAGTCCTCCGGGTGGGAGAAGAAGACGACCCAGTTGTTGCCGATGAACTCGTGGAAGTCGATGGGGCCCTGGGTGGTCTCGGCCTTGAAGTTGGGGGCGACGGAGCCGAGGCGGAGGGGGGCGGGCTCAGACATGGTGGATGGTTTGGTGATGGGAATGTGCGGTTTAGTTGGTGGTGAAGTTGAGGTGAGGTTGAGTTATGGTTAGGAAGAGAAGAAGAGAAAGGGAAGAGAAGCAAACGGAGGGGAGAGGTTGAGGTGACAAGCTCCACGCCTCTTTATATAGCAAGGCAAGGTACGCAACATGACCATGCTGCCCTCCATTGCCCATACGCGCAACAAATCACCCAATCTCTCCCCATCCCACCTCCAGCCATCCAGCCCCTCCCCCTCCATCATCTCATGGATCACCTTTCTGCCCCTCCTTTCAGGAAACCCATCTTTTGCTTACGGAGCTAATGAAAAGGAGCACTGGATTCAGCACCGACATCCAATATCAACTACTCCCTCTCTTCTTTGAATCCTCACCACAACCACCTCAACCACAGCTATCATCTGCTTTATTTCTCACTCTCTGCTCCCTCTCCTCTCTCCCTCTCCTCTCCCCCTCTCCCTCTGAAGCTACATAATCCATTCACTCAAACAATCAAACAAACAAGCAAACAAAACCCCACGATCAGCGCCGAACAAGTGGCCTCCTCCCCCCAACCCAGCTCCCTCAAAGCGGCAAGGCGCGCCGCGATTGCGTGCTGAGCCCGCCGCCTCATTGGCCCGCCCTGCGCATTTTGCAATCCGAGTCTCACTGACGCAATGGGAGGGGCGACGCTGCGAACATGCAACTAAAGCTGTAGCTCCCGCCAGGCTTGGGAACATGGGAGAGGGGCAAAGGGGCAAGTTGGGAAAAAAAGAGAGCAAGAATGTTGAATGTCCAATGGGGCGGGTTTGGCGGGGTGGAGGGGGGATGCTGCGGGTGGTCGGCGGCCCATCCATGTGAATTGCCGCCAAACAACGCCGATGGGCCGGATTGTCGCCTTTTTTTACGAGACATATCGGCGCGGCTTGCGGCTTCGGAAGGGGAAGGTTGGATAAGCCTTTTTTCGTGTCGGGGACAGTAATCTGCTCGTAGGTACTTTTGGCTGATTTTGAGGTCTCGACCTTGTCAACCTCTCTGGATTTATAATCTTCCAAGAGTGTGCCGTTTGCGCCATGCTTTTGACATCAAAGTTGTCTTACAGTACCTACTTGATGGCTTGTTGAAGACAGCTTGAGATCGTCGTAACAATGCATGTACTAGTATTGCCTTCCTTCGAGAGATGTGGTTCACTTGTTGTTTGGATCTCAACTTGTAAGAGCAATTTAATGCGAGCGTATGGAGCAAGTCCGTTTCTGCTTCACGGCGGATTTGTAAGTGGCCCATAGACGCACCCATCGCAAATGATGCCATTGGCCTTGAATGTTACACACACGACAAATTCATCTGCTGTAGCCATCAAGGTAGCCATCAATCAACAGACTTTCACATCAGCCCTACTGAATACCCATCATCTTCCCGACCAGCAAGCTCATTCACAAACTACTTCCTTACAAATAAGTAATCAGACAGTCAATGGAATCAGCTCTCCTCAAAATCACCCCATAACACTCAGTACAACCATCATCCCTGGCGCAAAAACGGCTCCTCAGCCGCCACAATTGCATGAAATAAACTCAGACCCTACATACTTTAGCTGATAGTAGTAGTATGTTATGCTGTGCTGACCCGAGATCCTGAGGTCGCACAACGATTGCCGACAGCCCGAGAGCCGCACATTGTTTCCTCATCGTCCGTCCCTCTGCTGCTCATCTATCCTACCTGTGTACTTACAAAAGACGAAACCATGTAATCCTCACAACTACTACTGCCTCAGTTGCAAGATTAGACATCCCGACAGCATGAGCAATAATTTTGAGTAAAAATTCCTTTAATATCTGGCTAAACGGGCAAAAAAAGCGACCACGCCAGGAGTCGAACCTGGAATCTCTAGAGGTGGTGTTTACCAACCGAAATCTAGCGCCTTAGCCATTAGGCCACGCGGCCGAAGATGCAGTCTGGAAGGCTATCACGGTATATGAGCGTCTGGCTACCGTCAACCCCAAACAGAACTCGATCCGCGGCAGCTGCCCTCATGGACGGCACACCTCAATATATGTCAAAGGATCCAAGGATATTTGCTATCAATCATGAATGCTAAAGCTCTCGCCTAGTGAAGGATGTACTGCGTCCAACTCTCAAGCCAAATACTAACAGTAGACTGCATCGCATGAGCGATCTTTGCAGCTGGGATCATGTCCAAGTCTGCCTCTATACCAAAAAGTGCCGCCACTGATGCACAAACCCCAAATCAGCCCGCTTGCCACCAACAAGAATAATGAAAAGGAAAATCCAACAAGCATGTCATAACGCCATTCTATGCTTAAATTCCGTGCATCTTGATCTGCGACCCCTCTATGTCGCGTCTTCCCCCCACCACCTGTCAATGAGGGGGTGCGTATTCAACATCATCACCAAAAGCCACCAATAAGATGCCTGGTGGGACGAGATGCGCCATGATTCGCTGGTTTGGCAGTGTCCTCAGCAAGTCCAGACTGGCTGTCATCGGGGTCGCTCTCCTCAGTTCCTTAGTCCACCTCTGTGTCGCTAGTATAATTTAGCTCGCTTGTCTCTACTTCGTCGACTAGCGATATCACATGGCCCAACGTCGGCAGAACACGGCCATCCCTGTCATTGACAAAGGTAGCCGAGAGTCTTCCCTCTGAAAAGCTGGTGCTTGTCGCATCAGTGGCGTCCCCCTCGCCGGAGACACTGGAGGGCGGTGTCAGAGGCTTGGAGAAGTTAAAGGTTGGAGTTTGCTGGGTGAAAACCCGAGTCTGAGTAGCCAGCTGGGGCACATGCGTTTGGCTCACGCTTGACCTCTTGAGCTGCGGCTTGCGAAGAGAAGTTGACGATGCGAATCCAGGTCGTCTCGAGGCGATTTCGAGGCGCTCTTCCTCCGCGGTATCCTCGTCTGTCAACTCAGAGTCCAGGACTAGGCCCGCGCCGGGCAACATACGGAGGCTCCCCCCCGAACGTCGCCGCTGGCGCTTCTGGCCCTGGTTGGCACCTATCACACCGAGATGTTGCTGCGCAGATGTCTGGCCATAGGGGTTGAGCCGCAGGCTGCTTTGATGCGAAGCCATACCCCTGAGGTTGCTCTGGCTCTCTGAAAAGACAACTCTTGTCCGCAGTCGATGCACTGCGCGGTCCAGCGCCAGCTCTATCGCACAGCTGTCGCGTATTCTGGACAGCTTTGGCCAGGTCGCTCTTTCGCCAACCAGGCAGCACTTGAGCATGAAATCCACGGTCGGGTTGCGGAGAAGCACAGGGAGGTTGTCAAGCGACAGATCAGGTAGGATGTTGATATTACCCGAGTACTTTTGACTGAGGATGCTTTGAAATTTGGTCATCATGTTAGGGAAGAAGCCCATTTCTGCCATAAACTGCAGTCGGTGGAGCGCCTCATCTCTGGCGAGCGATGTGGCGGTGTACAGCCAGTCCAAGTTGTCGCCGGCGCTGGCACTCTTGCGGGCGCTTTTATTCTCCGGCGACAGGTGGTCGTCTTTGGAAAGGAAGGGGGTGACGTGAGGGTTCACCTGGGATACGATGAAGTGGTTGACGTTGAACATTTCCGCAAGGCGCGTCATGGGCAGGTCGTTGTCCACCGAGCCGTCAATGAACCTCTGGGGCGATGGGTTCCACTGGCGGTGCTCCCCCGTCACCGGATCTTTGACCAGCAGAGGGGACGAGTCAAAGATGAGAGGGACCGAGCAGGACGCTGCCACAGCAGACCATATCATGACGTTGGGCGCGGTGACATAGTTGAGCAGTCGTGGCACCTCATAGACGGACGCGGACGAGACGCAAATGTTGAGGATACGACGAGTGCGGTTGTACGCCTCTTGGAAGGTGATGTCGCCCATCATGGTCCTCATTACCCTCCTAAGATGGGCAATATCGGACCAGCAGCCTTCCGTTAGCAGGCGACGAAAATGGTCCAAGAGGCCGTCTTGGCTGTCTTGCGCTTCAAAGACGGCCAAGTCCCCATAGGGGAACTCTTTGAGCAGCTGCGGGATCTCCTCATCCGTGCGCGTACACATGACGGCGCAGACGATGCTCCCAGCGCTGGCGCCTGATATGATTCTGGGCAGAAGCTGGGCCTCGAACAAGGCTTTGAGAACGCCGACATGCGCCATGCCGAACGTGCCACCGCCGGAGAGCAGCAGAGCGCTTCGTCCGAAGCTCTGGCGCGCAAGCAGCATGCCCTCAAGCAAGTCTCTGTAGGCAATGCTCTTGTCCGAGGCGCTGTGGACAATGGCGGCGTCAATAGTTGCGATTGTCGATTCGACATAGCGCTCGATTAATGACTTGGTGCCGAGGTACGAGTGCCGGTAGAGGTCGACGTTGCCCATGCCGCCGAGATCGCGCGACAGGGAGGTTCGGATGAGGTGCATCATGGTGCGGATGTCTCGACTCTCTCTGGCCTCGTCGAGGGCCTGAAGCCGCTGCTCAATGAGCCTGGGATTGTAGTCGCCGCTGTCAACGTCTTGTTTCCAGTCGTCGTTGCCTTCGAGGGCGTCGAGTTCCTGCGCTGCTGCTTGCCATTGTTTCCATGTCTCAGCCTATGACGCCAATGCCATGCTCCGGTTAGCTGGATGTTCTCTCTTTGGTCAAATCATCATGTTGGGTCCAGGAGGACACATACACTCTTCATGCGTAGATAGAGGATATTCTTCCTTTCTTCGAGAAGCCTTGCCCTCTCGCGCTCTTCGCCGCTCACGCCATCTTTCCAGGATCGCCAGAGGCCCGCCGCTTCCTTGACCTTCTGGGAGACGGTCTGCACGAGGGTCGGGTCAGCGGGCTGCGAGGCTGTCGAGGCGCGCTTCGGTCGCTTTGGTAATGGTGCAGAGGAATTACTGCTATGTATCGAAGGTATCGTAGGGGGGCGGAGGAGGAAGTCGGCCATGACCACGGGTGCAGCGAAGCATCCGCGGGTTCTTCACGATCTTCAGGTGGGCCGTCGGAGGGTCGGACACAGCCTCAGTCCCATTCCTGCTTGCCTGGCGGCGTCGATTGCGGCTGGGAGCTGGAGAGAAGAAGAGCAGGCGTTAGAGAAGAGCGTCTTGACCTTGGGGAATCAGTAAGAACTGAGCTCAGTTGGTTGTTGGCTTAGGGAAAGGAGACGGAGACGAAGGCAGGGGATGCTTCTTGGGATGAACGAATATTAAGGCCGGGCCGCATAATCTGGGGTTGCAGCATCTGGTTGGGGCATCTGACCGCTGATGGCATTGCAGTGGGGACAATACGCACTAGTAGCGGCCTGTTGGGGTCACGCTGGCCCGCTACGGTTGAGTACATGACGGGGACCTGACGTTGCCGTACCTGGGACCTGCCGGCAGTTGGGCTACAGGCGAGTGATGCCCTAAGCCACTGCTGAAGCCGTAAGAGGCCTCGAAGTCAATGGCACCCGACCCGACGGTTAGGTGCGAGTGGCACTCTAAGGTATCAAGCCCTTTCCACCAACTCGATACTTTGGCGCTGGGTTGTGTGAGGGTATCTGCGAGTACATAGTATCATTGAAGGCTGTGCCATCAATGCCTGACCAGCCCGGAACTTGCCCTGATTACAGCCCAGGGCACCACCCCGACCGCCCAACATCCCCCAGAATTGCCTCCACGTCCCCCATTTCCCCCGTAACCCCCATATTCCACCGCTCGTCCACGTGCTGCGGTGCAGATGCTGGTGACGCATCGACTTTCACATGCCAGCCTGGCGGTGAAGATTGATTGATTGCTTGCTTGATTGAGTGTCTGCAGGACACATGTATCCATCTGCGCGCGCTTTCTAAATATCATCGGGCATCCGTCAGGCTTCTTTCGTCCGGCTCTTTATCACGACTCCAAAGCAGCAGTACAGGTACTCCAAGCCGCCGTACCCCCCGTCCCCCAGACCCCGTACAGCCGAGTATTGTTCCCGGCGTGAGCTCCGGGCGGCTGCTAGCAGCTTCTCCAGCCCCAGAGATCTAGATGGCCGTCGATTCTGTTCCGGGCGAGGGAGGCTGCCAATAGTAGTAGTACTATGGGCAAGGCCGCTGGTTCCGACACGTTCGCATGACGTCGCCCGCGAGAATTGTCGCATGATGTCTCAAACGTGGCCCATCTCAGATCGATAGTGCTGATTCGCTGGGAGGGCTCGTTTGGGCACCCTGGACTACCGCATCAGAGACGCCTGGTCACGCCGGGCGTTTTCCGTTTTCTAGAAGGGCCTGGCAAGGAGGATTTGTTCCTGCCGGGGGGACGGAGATGGCCTCCGAGCGATGTTTCATGCTGCGATCGATCGTAGATGCAAATCTGTAGGGCGAGGAGGAGAGGAGGGCCCGATGCATCATTTCCTTCATGAATCGAGATGAGACGGAACTTCCCAGTATGACCGGATGAAGAGTGAGCCAGGAATACAGAGCGCCACTACGCTTCGTGGTCCCAAAAAGATCCCCTGCATTGATCGCAGCTGGTATGCCATTTGCCGTCTCTTTCAGGCAAAAGTAATACGGCGTGACACATCCATCGACTGGAAGCCCCCTGTGACTCACAGGGGCAATGAGTGCATATCTCTGGATTGCCACGCAAAAACAGATGTCGTCCGTCTTGTATAAGAACTGCAGGCGTATTCAAGCAAGGGGCAATATGTGCATTCACCAAGACACTGCGCTTGCTTCCCTCCTCCCATATGGCTGAATCAAGCAATAATCTTCCCTCAAACAAGACAACCTCCACCGCCCAAAGATCACCCGTGATGACCGAAATGCAAGGAGAAACGGCTGCACAGCCAAGCACAGATCACGATCGGACGATCAGCAAGTCTACGGTCAACCAATCCGAGCAAGAACTGCAAGACGACAAGTACCTCGAGGGCTCGTTCAACATTGACGAGAGGAGACCAAGATTCGACGAAACGTCTTGTACTGTCGAGGACAAGGAGATATCCGATCTGTTCAAGAAGGGCCTGCTTGATGATGGAAGTACAGGCCCTCTCAAGGGCGATTTCACACTGAACCATCTTCCTCCGCTTAGTGGCGATGAAGCATGCAGTGTCCAATGGACAACTTCGAAGAAAAAGAAGCAAAAGCAGAAACCATCGACGGGCGGCCTCTCGGACGATGAACTGGCCAGCATTCTACAGGCCTGTCCGGACTTGGAGGGCTTCATCACCGATTCAAAGTAGCAGCGGAGAAGACAACGAAATCCATGTTTATGAGATTGGACTGCTCAAATCATCTACCTACTTCCCCTCTCTCGCTTGATCATTTCGGATTCCAATCAGCGAGAATAGTCTCCAGTTGCTCATGGCGAACCAACGCCGTGTCAAACGTAGGCTGCCCCTCAAACGGTCCATCCGCAAACTTGTCATACAAAACAGCAATGCTTCGCCCGACCACCGGCAGCGCCTCCTGCCAGTCCTGCCAGCTCCAATCAACCTTCTGTACCTTATCCGACGCAAAGTCGTGCACCTCGATCGTCACGGGAGCGTCGTATGAATTGGCGTGCAAGGTGGCTCCGGAAAACGCCTGCAGGCGAATCTCGCCCTTTTCGCCATTAATGGCCCATGTGAGGCCGGGCTCGCCGGGGAATGCCTGACCCCGGCGGAAGCGGAAGAGCACGTTGGCGCCGTCGACGGCCTTTTCCGAGGCGGCAAGGGTGCCGTTGAAGATGATGAGGTCGGGGACGTCGGACTTGACTACCTCGACGACTTCCTTGGTGGCAGAGTCGCGGAGGAGGACGTTGGGGCGCTGGAGCTGGAGATGGGGTTGGATGTTCTGCAGGTCTCCGATGACATGTTGGATCTGATCAAACACTGCAAAAAAAAGTTAGCATAACAAGAATGTAGTCAGTGAATACGGTCGAGCCGATAGATGACTTACAATGTCCCACGCCAATGGTGACAATGTTCCCGCCCACCTTCTTCTCAAGGAAATACTTGAGACCTGGCCGCAGCGACTCCCGATCCAAAGCTCCGCCATAGGCTCTGATCTCGCTGCTGAGGATCTTGCCAATGGTTCCCTGCTCGATCAACTGCCGGACCTTGACAACAGGAGGCGCCTCCCGGCCCTGATGGCCAACGAGCGTCCGCCCGCCGGCCGCCTTGGCCGCGTCCACCAGCTCCTTGGCGTGAGCCACGTCGTGGGCCAGCGGCCACTCTACAAAGACGGCCTTGCCGGCCTTGACGCTGGGCAGGGCGGTCGAGTGGTGGACGTCGACGCGGGTGCTGACGACGACGAGGTCAATGTCCTTGTCGTCGGCGACGGACTGGGGGTCGCCGTAGGCCTTTGTCTCGGCGGGCAGCTTGAAGACCTCGATGGCGCGCTTGGCCGCCTCGACGCTGCTGTTGCAGAGGGCGACGATCTGGTACTTTTCGCGGCCGCGGGCGGAGAGGAGGTAGGGCAGGTGGGCGGCGCTGGCCCAGGACGTGATGGCGTTGCCTGAGAGGCCGATGATGGCGGTTCGGATGGGCGCCATGGTGGTGATGGTGCTTGGGGTGAGTACTTGGTTACAGTTGATGTATAGGTTTTATCCTTGTTGGATAGTTCTTTAGTCAAAGGTCTTTATATATGTGGTCTCTATGTAAGATCTATCCATCGCGCCTCTCCTTCCTTGTCCACAGCCTCATTGCGACTCCGAGGGGGAGATCATGCAATAACACACATGCACACACGCATGGAGGGGTGACAGGAGGGGCAGCCGGATTTCTAAGCGGGGATCGGTTTCTAATGCGAGGCTGAGAGGATTCATTGTTACTTTGGACATCTAATGGGCAGGTATCATTACCTTGGTCGAGGGTATGTAGCGTTTGCATCATTCGCGGCCAATAAGACTTGTATGTTGGTTGCCATTCAGTTCAAATGTTGGTTGTCTGGAGCGGGACTCGTTGGCGGTGTTCTCAACTAGAGCGTTGCATATCTTACGCGGAAATCTGTCTGGGTTGGTTTCTAAACTCGTACTCGGCCATCGATGACTTGCGTATGTACTTCCAGCTTTGTCTAAACTGGTAGTATGTCTGACAGAACATGTGCTTTTGGAACCCTGAAACTAAGAGCGGCCTGATAGGATATGCTGAAACAGACACAGGCTGCATGCGTCTACATGTAATGGCTGAAGGATCTTAACATCAAATCAGATGTCCTTCGCGGGCAAGCAGTGATCCTTCGCTGTGCCACCCATATCAGTGTGCTGTGTGTTGCTCTAAACCCAAGGTAGTACCTATAGCTGAAGCTCGAACGATCTACGACCAGCTTGAACATGCCTCTCGGAGATGGAAAGTCATGTTGCATTCTGGCCGTTCTGGTCCGATACGTTGTGGAGTTGGTGCTCATACAAGTACGTTGTATAAGATTGCGCGATTCTATCATACATCCATGTATCAATGGTTCACGTTTGTATCGTCTGACGCCTGGCCTTTCTCCGCACGCTACCGGCAAAATGACTTGGCCCGCAGCTGAGCGTCCAGTCTCCGTCAATTCCTTCTTCGAACCGCTCAATGTTTGCGGAATTCGATAGAGGGGCTTGCTATTTGGACGTACTTGATACTTGGAGTTTCCAGTAATACTTGATCTTCTCCATAAGCATAGCAGTTCCAGCGCACTCACATATGCTGCAATGAGTTCATCTCAGCGTCTCACCAAATATGCCGCCTTCACTCGTCCCGAATCCGGCATCAGCCAAATCGGCCACTTGGATGCAGCAGCCGGCACGATCCAGCCCCTCAGACTCCTCTCCGGATACCCCCTCAAAGACCTCTACGAGGTCATCGAAGCCGGTACTTCGCAGATAGTCGCCTCGGGCCCGGCTCTGCCCCTCTCGTCCGTCAAGATCCTGGCCCCCCTTGCAGGTCGCGATGTATTGGCTGTGGGTAAAAACTATATGGAGCACGCAAAGGAGTTTAACGCCTCGGGGTTCGACAGCTCGGACAAGGTTGACAAGCCGAGCCATCCCGTCATCTTCACCAAGCGCGCGACGAGCATCATTGCGGATGGCGAGGACATTTACTTGCATCCGGAGTTTTCAAAGACGGTCGACTATGAGGGCGAGATTGGCGTCATTGTTGGCAAGGCCGGGTTTCGGATTCCCAAGGAAATGGCCATGGACTATGTTTGGGGATACACGATCATCAACGATGTGACGGCGAGAGAGAGGCAACGAGATCACAAGCAGTTTTACATTGGCAAGTCGGCAGATACATTCTGCCCCATGGTAAGAAGAAATAATAAAATCTCTTTGTCTTCTTAGAACATGATCGCTGATTCAGGGTTAGGGACCTGTCGCAGTTCCCAAGGAAGACCTTCCTGCGGTACTGCGCGTTCAGACGCACGTCAATGGCGAGCTGCGCCAGGATGCAACGACTGACGAGCTCATTTTCGATATCCCTACTTTGATCAGCACGCTCTCGGAAGGCCAGACATTACTGCCAGGCGATGTAATTGCCTCTGGCACGGTTAGTCCATACTGGTCTCCCATTAGTCTCTCTCAGATCACTGATACCGTTGCTTGGTAGCCTGCTGGTGTCGGCATTGGACGAAATCCACCCATATTCCTGAAAGAGGGCGACCAGATCACCATCACCATTCCTGGCATTGGCACATTAAACAACAAAGTCACTACTGTGAACGGCACCAGCGAGCGTCTTGCTTCTCAGTCTGCCTTTGGCCTTTCCAACGCGACGCGTTCCCTCAACGGCACAGCGGGACTGACCTACATCAATGGCAAGCCGCTGCATTACAAGCGACTCGGTTCCGGACCCAACCACATGGTCTTTGTCCACGGTCTAGGCCAGACAAAGGAGTATTTTCTGCCGTTGATCTCTGAGATGGGACTTGACAAACGAAACACGGTGCATTTGTTTGACTTTGAAGGCCATGGACTCAGCCCTACACATCCGCTGAGCGTCCTCAGCGTGGATTCGCTGGCATCGGACCTTGCCGGCGTGTTTTCGCACGCCGGAGTCACGAAATCAAATCCTGCAATGGTCATAGCAAGCTCCCTTGGCTGTCTGATTGCTCTCAAGTTCATCCTCGACAACCCTGGTATGGTGTATCAGCTTGTGCTGTTCAGCCCGCCACCTTACCCCCTGCCCGAAACCCACAGAACGGCCTGGCAGCAGCGGAGCGAGCTGGCCCGCATGTCGGGGATGGAAGCGGTAGTGGACGATATTATTCTTGCCACTACGTCGGAGTCTACGAGAAAGAGTAATCCCCTTGTGGAGGCCGCGGTTCGGTTGAGTTTGCTTGGACAAGAGCCGGAGGCGTTTGCGAAGGCTTGCGAAGCCTTTTTAGGAGACGATGAGAGAGGGGGGTTGTTGGGGGGGCTTGATCCGGACTTTGTGGACATTCCTTACGAATTGGTTATTGTGTCGGGCGAGCACGATGTGCTTTCTACGCCAGAGGTGGTTCGGGGTTATGCCAGGAGGACGGAGGCGGTACATTGTGGTTGGATTAATGATGCTGCTCAGTGGATTGTCTTTGAGAATGTGAAGCAGCTATCGGAGAAGTTGAGAGGATATATATAAGGTAAGTATAATCGACGGCCATGTAGGGGACTCCTGGGAGTTATAGCAACTACACCGCAGCCATCTGATGGTAGTTGAGACCACAAGCACTTATACACCTTAGGTACGCAGGAATGCCACAGCAGCTACCTACCTCTAGTAGGTATTCGGATTTCTAATGAACAAACCGCCGTTCCCTCCAGCTATTCAGCTCGGCGCTGAGCTGAAAGCCACTAATATGCAAGAACATCAAGCACCCATAATAAACTCTGGAGGAGCTGTCGAACTAATCTCGACTATTACATCACACACCACCCAAAAAGCTATCCATTTCCATAAATCGGGAGCTAGGGGCAGCCCTATTGCAGCTCCCTCCGACCTATGAGACGCCGTGGATAATGTCTGTCTGCTCATCCGTGTCGAAAGATTGGACTGGAAGAATCCTTCAGCGCATCTCATTGCCCATTTATGCGGAGCGCTACTTGTACTCGTCTCCTCATTGTGCTTGGAGCTTTCCTACGTCATGACGCTTCATGTCGTCCGTGGATATTCCATACTATATGGAACCGTAACCATTTTCCTACAACACATTCGATTGAATTAATTCTCGAGCACTCTCTAGTAATACCCTGAGTCGTTGTAAACAGTAATTAAAAGCAGCAATGTCCAAGATCATCACCGTCTTCGGCGCCACAGGCAACCAAGGAGGCTCCGTCGTAGAAGCCATCCTCACAGACAAGACCCTATCCCGGGAATTCAAGATCCGAGGCATCACTCGCGATGTGAACAAGCCGGCAGCCCAAAAGCTCGCCTCAAAGGGCGTCGAGCTCGTCGTGGTGCGTACGAAACTATCCAAAAACAGTGATACTTCCTATAATCATGTCCAAGATAGAATACCCTAACATATTGGTTTCCCAACTCAAGGCAGACATGTCCTCCTCCTCCTCCGTCGCCCCCGCCGTCAAAGACGCCCACACCGTCTTCCTCGTCACCAACTTCTGGGAGAGCATGTCCGCCGACGTCGAGATCGCGCAGGGCAAGGCCGTCGTCGACGCCAGCAAGGCCGCCGGCGTCGAGCACATCGTCTTCTCGTCCCTCATCGACGTCACCAAGGCGAGCAACGGCCGGCTGCCCAACATCTCGCACTTTGACGGCAAGGCGCGCATCGAGGAGTACATCCGGGCGAGCGGCGTCGCGGGCACGTACGTCCTGCCGGGCATGTTCATGAGCGGCTTCACAACCATGATTCGCCCCAATCCGCCCTCGGAGCCGGCGGGGTATACGTTGGCTTTGCCTGTTGATCCGAACAAGGCGAAGGCGCCGTTGTTTGCTGCTGCTGAGGATATGGGTGAGTCGTTACTCTCTCTCTCTCTCTCTCAACTATTCTTTTCGTTATTGACGTTGTGTGTGACAGGTAAATTTGTAAAGGCTGCTATCAAAAACTTCCCGACACAAGCTGGAAGCCGCATCCTTGCGGCTACAGACTACTACACCATCCACCGGCTCATCTCGGAGTTCTCCGAGGTCATGGGCAAGCCCGCGCAGGCCGTGCAGATCCCGGACGACAAGTTCAAGTCGTTCTTGTCGCCGGTGGCAGCGCAGGAGCTGCTGGAGAATATGAAGCTGCTGGAAGACCCGGGTTACTATGCTGGCGAGAGTCTGGGGGCGAGCTTGGCGCTGTTGGAGGAGAAGCCGACGACGTGGAAGGAGTTTGTGGAGAAGCACAAAGAGAAGTGGCTTCATTCTAGTCCTTCGGTGACGGGATGAGCGCAGCTGAGGAATGAAGGGCCGACGATTGAGGAGAGGGACTGAGTTGATATAGTCTTAATGGGAGGAATAGGTGATCCTACTGTTGTATGTTGAGCCGCTTACCAGCGTCCTTACACACATCACGAGAGTTGTCATGGCTTACAATGAGTGGAGTTTGAGCTAAAGCTACATACCTATTCAGGTTTCCAATGAGTGTAGTCATCATAGTCATGATATCGTGGTCAGTCCATTGATCTGTTTCCAAGTATGAAGCGTTCCAGATCATTTTACAGTTCATGGGCCAACTGACCCAAGTGTCGTCCAAATATACATCCCGCGTTAAATCATCCCTACCGTGTACTCGGTTCTGCTTCAGGTAGCATTAGAATGATCATCATATACAGTGCCGTTGCACTCCTCAAGCAATCAGACCCAATCCTCCAGTCTGCTGATGAGATCCTCGACTTCGATTCCGCCATCGCTCTCTGACTGATGACCGCCATGGCCCTTGTGAGGAGGCAGAGGCACTCGGTTGACGACCTGGATGACGCCGTTCTTGGCCACGCCATTAGGGATCACAACCCGCGTAAAGCCGTTCACCTTGATCGAGGCAAAGCCAAAGATGCGGGCAATGTCCACGCTGATGTGAGCATCACCAAGCAGCGTGGGCAAGTCGTAATGCTCGGTCTTGCTCTCGTGGACTGGCGCCTTCTGCTGCTTGCTGTCCGTCTCATCGTAAAAGGCATCAGTGTAGAGCGTCGCGTTGGGCGCAATGTTGTACTTGAGAATGGCCTTCAGATACTCGCGGCCCCTGTCAGTGTTGAAGAGGAAGGCGTTCGCCCTGGGCCCCAGCCAGTGGAAGGCCTCATTGGTGGGGACGAAGACCGTGCTGCCCTTGAGGTTGACGCCGTGGATGAACTTGACAAATTCCGTCTTCTCGTACGCAAGCAGCAGCGTCGAGAAGCGGTCCGGGAAGAGCGTGATGATGCGGCCGACGTATGGGGGCGGAACCAGGATGTGATTGACAGCGTGGATGATGCCGTTCTTAGCTGCCTATATAAGTTGGAAAGAAGGCAAATGAAAGGGGTCAGCCAGTCGATCTTGCAACTCTGTTGTACGCAGCAATTGGTGAATCTTTACGAGTACGAAGCACGGCAGACGGGTTGGCTATTAATAGCCGGGCTTTGCTCAGCGTGGGGGGAGAGACAAAGGGGGGGTCAACTCACAATGTCAGCAGCAATCACTTTGCTGTAAAAGTTCAGCTTGACTCCACCGAGGCCGACGGAGGCACGAAGACGCTGGGGCTCACCGCCGAGCAGCTCCTCGTCGAGGGCCGTGGGCAGCGTGTACGAGTGCAGGATCCTGCGGGCGGGATATTCGCCGAGGGCAATGTGGTAGAGCAGAGCCTTTTCGACAAACTCCTTGTCGGGCTTCTTGTGGTCCTCGTCAAAGGCACTGTCGACGGGCACGAAGAGCGTGTGGTTGGCCTTGGTGCTGTTGAGCACGTCCACGACGTCGGGGTGTTCGTCGAGGATCTTGGCGAACTTGGTGGTGTACTTGCTCTTTTGGATGAGCTCGTAGATGGTGAAGCTCTCGTCGCCGTGCTTGTGCCCGTGATGGTGGTGGTGGCCGCCGTCGGCGGAGCTGCCGGTGCCGCCGAGGTCGCCGGAGTAGCCCAGCCCGATGAGATCGGCCACGGCCTGGCTGAAGTCGTCGTGGATGTGGCCGCGGATGGACGAGACGGCATTGAAGAAGCTCTCGGCCGCAGCAATGTCGTCGTCCAGGTGATGCGGGCCCATGACGGCCGTGACCTCGTCAGTTGCGCCTAGCGGTGCCTGATTTGGCACGGCTGTCTCGGGTACAACCAGAGCGTGGGCTGCCTGGATGGCGGCCAGCGACAGCGCGCCAAGGGCTGCGAGTTTGGCCATGGTTGAGGTCAGATGAGATGGCAATGGATCAGATGCTGTGGTAGCACCAGCAGGGAAGCTATTCAGAACAATGCTTGAGTATGGCTATAGCTCAGTCTCTGAAGCTCCGTCAAGACGCTCCAGGAGGTGATGATGATGATGACGACGGAAGAACTGGCAAGCCATCTCTGCCCATTCCACGTCTCTCTGCAAGGGAATCTGAAACTCCGCCCAAGGTTCGGTTCGACTGGAAGAGGCAAAAAAGCTACCTGACGACAGCACAAGCAAGGGGCTTCTCTGCGGGAGACGGGAGAGAGACGACACCGCGGGACCCCACCGCCAGATCTATTCTAGGTATCCGGAAGTATTCCCAGCCGGTGATGTTCTGGGCTACGGATAGCCAAGCTTCACGGAGTGGACACGTACTAACATGAAGGTTAACGGGGACCAGCTGGCGATGCCTGCACGGCAGTAGTATTCCGTAGAAGTCCAGGTCCCTTGTTCGACAGTGATGTCTTCATACTTGTAGTTGTATTTGAACGCACAGACTGAAGAGGTTCCATCTCTCTGGAAGGTCTGCAATGCTACCGTGATCGACTGGCGGGATTGCCGTATTTCCGCATGGCGGTACACGAGCGATACCCGAGCCATAACAGCAGCACAGCAGCTGCATGTACACTGAACGCGCAATCAAGTGATCCTACGACGTTATCCAAAGAGCTTCTCGAGCTTGAGGTGCAGCTTGTCGTAGCACAAGTCTGACGTCAAAGTCATGCTCCCGCATCATCGACCTTCTAGCATGGAATTCATCCATCCGGGGCTGAGCCGCAAGCCGCACAAGCAGGAGGAGCTTGAGGACGCAAGATGGCAGCACAGACTGACGCAGTACTGGGGAGTACCGGTACTTGATCTCTTCTAACGTGGGGAGGATTGTTTCAAAAGGGTAGCATTTGGCCTTATAAGCTGTGTATTGTCATCATCAGCGGGCCGGGAGCGACGAGAAGGGCTCGCATTGCCCGTGTTGGCTCCAGCGGCACTTCGATAACAACCCTGGACTCTTTGACTCAAACAACCACAGCAACCTGTAAACTCGTTGGACGAACTCTCCGCCAACCCATGTAGCGATACGCCTAAAGTACCGCCAGCAGCCAACGCTTCCCACCAAAAGTAGAAAGGGGGGCGAAGCAGCTCGCTAACGTCGGTGGCGTGCCATCCAGATTGCTGACAGGACGATGAACAGCCTCGCCAGTGCTTACTTTCGCTGCTTAGCTGCGAGCTAGCTATGCGGCTCTAGGAAAAGCCGGTGGTCCTTCCACCAATCCAAGCGGTTGCTGACAAGGGTTGTGAATGGGTAGCACGGGATAGTTCCAGGTATTATTGTCGTGCCTCCAGGAAGGGCTGAGCATTGACTTGGCTTGGTTCGGTTTTGTTAAATTCTCTTTTGCTCGATTCTTCGCTCGGATCTCACTTCATTCCGGCTCTCTGTTCTGCATGTTCTGCTCTTCCTCGTTCTTCAGGTTTTCAGGCTTTAGACCAAGTCCGTCCTCGTATACTAAACGACCAACCCGCCGTCGATGCCAGCCAACCCGCATATTTCAACCTGATGCTTGATAACTCTTACGGACCCTCCGCTAAATAAAGTAATCGATCCCTTACATACAACCCGCGCCACAGGGCTGGCTGGTTGCGGAGCTGAACTTCAGTTATTGTCACTGCTATCCCCGTCGATGAAATCCCATTGAATCCGAACTAGCTCTGGAACCAGTTGCTCTAGCTCTCACAACCGCTGCTCTCGTCTCTACCTACTTCTTCCCCCCTTCTCCGTTTCCTGTCTTACGAAGTTTGCTCTTCGAAAACTCTGTCTCTACCAGAGTTTTCACCCCGACCAATGAGCCAAATGCTTCGCAAGAAAGAGGCCTTCACCCTCGTCACGCCCATCCCGGGCTTCATCCCTCGACAGCTCGCCATCGACATCCTCCACTCCCACAGCGAAGTCATCACCCTCAACCCGCTCGTCCTCGGCCACAAGCCAATTTCGGCGCCTCGCAATGCCGCCGCCGACGAGTTCTACAGCACCTGGTACGAGATCGAGGAGCGCATCCAGTTCCTGCCCGGCGCCGGCAAGCTGGGCTCCGGCAAGATCAAGTTCAACGGTTGCTTCCACGACATGCCCTGGGGCCTGCAGACGCATATATATGCGCCCATGAACATTGACCTGCGAAACACATACCGCATCTGCGGCAACCAGCCCGGGGTCGAGCCGCCGGAAACTCGCGAGATTGGCCTCGAGGCCCTCGGCGCGCCCTCCGACGGCCTCTACCTGCGCGAGGACATTGAGGTCAAGGCCAACATCACCATGGTCAGCTTTGTCAAGGCGCAGCTCAAGGCCGCCAACAAGGAGATGGTCCAGCGCATCATCAAGAAGGCCGAGCTGCTCGACGCCGGCGTGCTCAAGGCCATGATGGAGGACGGCAAGCTCAAGACGGTCAACCCCAACGACCGCTCAACCACGCCCGCAGTCGGCGCCATGTCGCCCCATAGCAGCAGACAGCCCTCCGTCAACTATGGAGTCCCGGGCCAGAAGAGCGCCCAGATGCCGCCAAGCTACACCCCAGCCTATCCTCACTACGCATATCCCACCTCTCCTCAGCCTTCCCAGACCCCGCAGATGTACGACCCTCGCCAGTCAGTATACGCTTCCACGCCCCAGCAGGGCATGTATGCGCCGCCACCGATTCCTCCCAAGGAACAGATGGTTATCATGGAGCTGCCGGGCGACTATCCACAACACTATGCTCAGCCTGGTCAAGGGCAAGGTCAAGGTCTCTATGCTTCGCCGCTTCCAAGCCCGGGATATCGCCCGCCCTCGGCTTCCTCATCCGATCCTAGGTGGTCTCAAGGTCAGCCGAGCCCGTCTCTGCTCAACCCGCAGAGGATGAGCAGCGGCTCTACAAGCAGCGCCGGTCAACACCACGGCTTTGTGAATGAGCTTTCAGCACACCCGGAAAAGTCAGAATATTAGACGCATCCCAAAAGTGTTTGAGACGCCGAATCTCGGTTTGCGCCCTGCTGATGGGCGACATGGAAGGATGAGAGAGTTCATCCGATAATGAAGGACGAGAAATATGGTCGCCCGCGGGGGCTCGTCAATGTTGAAAACGAATACGGAGATGAGTGCAAAAGGAAATGTTGGTTAACGGTTTAGATGAAAGAGCTTGGGGAGCATTCTACAATGAGCCGATGTTTTCTTTGCATTGGCATTCCGTTTAAAAATTTTCATGTAATGTATTCTCTTCTTTTTCTGGTTCTTGTGTGTATACAGATACCCCGAGCGGTATTTCTTTTGTACTGCCTTTGTTATGGAGAACCCTTGGGAAAGATAGTATGGGATTTGGAATACCATTTTGCGCTTCTTTTGTGCTTTATGATACCCCCGTTATGCTAGGCATCTTCATGATCTTCCCTTTGTGCTTTCATGGTCTGTTATACTTGATACGACCATCATCTTGACTCAAAGAACCGCCATTATAGATGCAGCAAATAGTGCCATGACCAAAGTCATGATCACATTTATGGCTATGTTATTCCCGTCGCTTGTTGAAGTTGCTGTTGATGGCCCGATTACTGAAGAAGAGGTAAATGAGGTGATCGTCGTGGCAGGCGACGAGATTGATGATGCTTCTGGGCGAAATGGAGCTGATGGAATCATTACAGTCGTGGAGCTTATGCTGGAGACAAGGTCGGAAGAAATATCTCGTGGTGACGTCGAAGTTGAAACCAATGTTTCCGTTTGTGTCTCTGCAGTTGTTGAAGCCAGGGTTCCATGAACACTCGTCTTGGAGCTCAGTGTCTCAGACGAAACCGTGTTCTGGCCTCGAGTCGTCGTCGTTGTCGTCGTCGTCTCAGCGATACTGCCAGTCTTGGTTCCCCTAGTCGTCGTGCTGCCATCGCCGTCACCCTTCTGGCAATACTGCTCAAACCCATTCTGAAAACACTCCTCCCCAGCATGGCAATACGCGCCGTCCGAACAGCACACAGCCCCCTCAGGCATGCACAGCGTCTCGCCGCAGGGCACCTCGCCAAGGTCGCAGCTGATCTCGTCGCTGCAGGTGTGTCCGATGGGGCAGCAGCCGTCGACGACGCAGGCGTAGCCCTGCTTGCAGTATCCGAGGCCGTCGGGGCAGCACTCGGCGCGCGGGGGCATGCAGCCGGCGTTGCAGGTGAGCTCTCCAGGGCGGCACAGGCCGGCAGCGACGATGACGATGGCGGAGAGGGCTTGGAGGGGAGATGATGGGGGTGCTTGGGCGAGGAGGCGTGCGGGAGGCTTATGTGGGATGAGGTTTGTGGCGGCGAGGGAGGTTGGTGAAAGGAGGAGGAGGAGGGAGATTCTAATGGCTGAGTTGACCACCATTGTTTCTCGACTGGGCTGGGTTTATTGAGCTTGAAATGTCGGATACTAGGATCAGTATCAATGCTTATTGACTTTCTGGCCCTCAGCCTTGTATATTATTGCCGTCTCTTCATCTCTCCGAGGAACTCAGTGTCTACTTATAAACACCCGCTTGCAGGAATCAGCCCCTAAAACTGTCTCTCTCAATATGCCTACACGGCTGGGCCAAGATACAGCACAGCAAAAACGACACACCACACCAGCCCTGCGCCGCATCGTCACAGCCAGCTCTCTTTCAGCTCGTCTTGGCATGCATACGAAGCGGTCAACTGGCCGACGCTATCGACTGCAAGGGTAGCCCAATCTTCAATTTCTGTTTTTACCCTATTCTTCCCATTGGAACAGCCACCAGATCAGCTCACATGAGCAGTCTCGCAGTGTGCCCGACCTACACTTCTCATTTCATTCTGCCTCATTGGCGCTGGTGGATGTTGAAAATTAACTGAAAAATTAAGCTTATGAGGGGTGGGTTGACAGGGGATTCGGCTGTGTTCTTAGAGACGCATTGCCTTTTTGAGCGAATATTGAGGCCATTGGGATATCATCGTGTGAGGTTACCTGGATTGAATTTGGGATTTACGGGGCTTTTGAGCCAGCTGGCATCCAGAGTTCGCCTGCTGCTTGAGGTCTTGTCCTATCATAGTGCACCTATATGGCACCGAATCCCTACACGACGTCGTCGTAGATGCATGGTTTTGCCGAGCGTCGGCAACTCGACCCCTGGTTGCATTCAATATGTAAAGGCTTTGCCAAATGTAGATAGAATATATCAAGTTCATTGGCAACAGTCACTTTGGCGGATGGCATATCACCGATAATTTGGTCCTTGAACTGCCCTTGCCTTTTATTCTGATGCGGGTCATTCTATGGTTTCTGGTATTTTAGCGATACCCGATGACCTATCGTCTTCTATCTGTTTGGTAGATGGAGGAAGCTCTGAGACTTAGACGTGAGGCTTTTGCAAGCGCCGAAGACTTTCTGTCGGCCATGAAGTAGTGTCTCATCGAATGACGGTTGTAATCAGACTCGATTGTCTAATAGTAGTTGGATGTAGCTGGTTCCCTTTGATTCTATCGTCGTAAAGTTGGTTCTATGCAGATATCAACACCTGATGTATGTACAGTAACCCAGTAGACACCCAAGTACGGCTTCTACACATACGACATTCGTATTAGATCCTTTCATCCCTGCGGTATCTGAGGCCCTCTTCCCGTATGCTGACATCATATAAACCCATATGTATCCCGAGGTGTGAGTAACCTAACCCAGTTTTCCCTTCTGCTATATAGGTGAACTGGGGTAAGACAAGGACGTTTCTCGGTCGTATCCGTCTTAATAGCTTGTGCCCCGTTATGCTCCCGGCGTAGTTGTCGATCCATGCAGGATGGTAGGGCTGAGGCGTGGCCATGAACAAACAAGCGGGCCGGTTTGGTCCACAGGGACGAACACCACACCACAGATGAGAAGCCAATCAAAGGACTTGCTCTCGATATTCAGAGTATTGGCCTTGCTGGCTACGAAATATAGATCCACCCTGATGGTACATTGGCTGGGCCATTTTGGGTAGGATTCGGCTCCTAGAAGCCGAGAAACCGATTCTCGAGCAACCCTACGTGGACCTGTTCATTCGGATGGAGGTTCCGAGATGAATGGTATCATCCAAATCGGACTACAGCCTTGGCATGGGTTCTCAGCTCAACCATCAGACGGAGAGGTCATGCCGACTTACTAACCTGTGCTAGTATAAAGGTCTTTTCGTGAATCTTGGCAACCAAATGAGAGTCAAAGGGTAACATTGTCTAATATCTGAGTCCCGACACCATTATGGCGACGTGAGCATTGCATCTGGCAGCGAGGGCGAATGTTCTACGGGTATCAAAGGCTACTTTGTCGTGTAGTTTGCACCAAGTTGAGCTTTTGTCGAAGACTACGCGAAATTTCTGAAGCCAGGGCCTTTCTCTGATAACGTAATGATACGACTAAGGCTTCCCATGTCTATCTTACACAAGTTCCTGTTCTTCACCCCTCATAAGTCTCGAACCCCTGGTTGTCATTATAGCGAAAACTTTCTGCCCAGTTTCGCAACTTCCCAAAGTCTCGGCACTGGTGCGGAGTCCCATACCCATCCACCCCCTTTCTGGGTGCCACAGTGTCAAAGCTCGGTTTGAATGGCTCCAGCGTAGAGTCGGATGCGCATATGATGCTCTCTCTGAGATAATCCAAGCAGTGGAGTGTGTGTGAGTGTGGCTCGGTGATGTTGGCTTCCAAGGCCTCGAAGAGGTCGGACTGGAGTAGATACTGCAGAGGATATGAGCTCAGTTTTGTTCAGGAGTGCTACAAAGTGGATATGTTGCAGATGAAGGCAGACATACCAGGCAATGCAGTTGATGGAATACTGCGACAGAAAACCGTCCGGTGCCATCTGTGCTGGTGCTTCGGACATAGTCAGGCACTGGACCTGCGGCCTCTATTTTCTTTATTGAAACGTATCCCTTCCCCTCTGTATTCCTATACATTAGGACAATGCGTCATGGCTCACAAGAGTAGGAAACGCTCTGAATCATACTTGGAAATAGGTTCATCCACGCCGCATGGCCATTTTCTGTTCGTGGGTCATCATATACCCTCTCCGGCATAAAAGCCTTGTGTATTGGACCAACTAAAACTCCTAGTTAGCAGAGACACGGGAGGCATCATGGAGGTGATTGCCCATACGAGGAGGAATGTCCAGCTTGGGAAGAAATTTGGCGTCTTCTCTTATACCATCTCTAGGCTGCACGGCCTTCCAAACAACGAGGCTCACTGCAACGGAGATCACTGAACTCAGCAAAGCAACGAGGGCAAAATGTATCAAAGTGAGATTTATCCTCCTTTTCTCCATCCGCTGGAGAGGGAGACTCTCGCTCTTGGAGCCCAACAACGTGTCTTCATCCTCCGAACCAGAGCTTCGCCGAGACATGATGCCGGTTCACCTCAAGATCGGAAAGGGTCAGAGGAATTTCCAGCATCATAACCTCAAACGTCTTCTTCTGTCAACTTTACGTGACGAACCCCGCCGGAGATATTACTATGTATGTAACCTTAGTAGTAAGCGCAACATCAGCTGTACCTCCGGCCAGGAAAGGAAGCTAGTTGTAAACACCCACTGAGGGGCGACTTTGGGGACCCTGTTCTGGTTTACCGCGGACTTGTTTGACCTGCAGAAACAAAAGTCCTGGTCGACGTCTGGGAAGAACCACGCCTGCATTAGTGGCGGGCAGAACCTTGGATGAACGTGCGGTTTCTACCTAATTTTGCGATATCGTGTCACTCGTGTATGTAAGTGCGTGTTGCCGATGGAGTGGTTATCCTCGCCCCAGAAGTAAGACGTCGCTGTCGAGACTAGCAAAAGTGCGCCTTGACTACAAGGACTTGATGGAGGCAAGACAAGGAGCAAATCCATCAACGGCTAAGATGTGTTACTGTATTGACTAAGTATGTATATCAGTTTCTCAACTCTGATCAGGACTCGCAACCTTGCATCATCTTACTGCATCTGCATGCGGTGCTACGGAAAATCATACATTATTCGCCCATTATCCTTGTACAGATTGCTGATTGTCCCGGAATGGCCCGCTCCTACGGCGCAATATCAAGAATCTTGTCACCCTCTTGCAATTCCACCACCAGGTCCTCGAGCGTCTGGTGTGCCCGAACCCACTCTCTGACTGGCTCCCAGTCGATGCACTTGTGGTGCGTGTTGAAGTCGACAAAAGATCCATCCACTCCCTGAGCCGGGTCCTTTACCCAATACTGTCCGAACACCCCCAAGTCGGGCTTACACTGGATGACTTGCCGAAGCATGTCGATGCAGTGCGTTACGTGTTTGAAAATGGTCTGGTCGTCCTTGCCAAGGTGGTGGCCTGGGTAGTCGGGGCTGGAGTAGTAGTCGTAGTTGAAGAAGACGGCCTTGCGGATCATGTTGAGGCAGTGCAGGTGGTGGTTGAACTCGAACAGGACTGGAAAGTCGCCCGACGGGGTTTTGAGATGGTCTGGACTAATGCCAGCACGGATTGCTTGGGGCCTGGACAAGACGAGAGGCTTTGAGGTTGTGCCGAGACCTTCCCATGCTGCGTCTACCTCTGGTGAGGGAGGCAGACGGAAGACGGAGGTTGAGTTGGCGAGAAATGTCCCATCATAAAGAACAGAGCGGTAGTGAATTGGGATATCAATGGGAGTAGCTGACACGGATTAGTCAAGTGAACTCGTAAAAGAGCGTAATGAAAATCTGACTTACGGTTCTGTTGCGTATGCCGCACGCAGGCAGCGTCAAGGTATGAGGCTCTGTGGATGTAGAGGTACGTCAGGACATGAGAGCCCAGAGAGATCCCAAGCAGCAGGATTAGAGACCATAAGAGCATATCGCGCCGCCGTCTTTGGCTTTGTGACTCTCCCTTTGAGTGTAATGAGGCACCTAAGAAGGGATCAGACTCTTCAAGAGAGCTGTCATCTCTGTCTCTCTGCATTTCCATGTCGTTGAACTTGCAGTCGATTCCAACGACAGATTCAAGTTATCATCTCAAGCCGTGGAGTTGAATCAAACCTCTCTAATAGCCCAAATCTTGTTGACAGAAGATCTGACAGTGTGGATCGGTGGGTTAGTGACCCGTTCTCTTTTGCCTCGTTTATGCATACCCAGTGTTAGTGTCAACTCCCACTTAAGTTGCGTTATCATGCATACCATTTGCTGGGATCCCTGAACTAGTAGCATCGACAGATAGGCTGCAGATGGTCATACAGGCCTACTATGAGGCATACCAATCAATCTCACCTTCCGATTGGAGATTATCAGCACCTTGTGCGGACAAATCCAGGGAGTCCGGGACTTTTCACCTCGGCAAGAGGGAACACCTTCTGAATATTGCGAAGTCTTTGAGGGGTAAGACTAGTCACTATTATCCACATTCTCTATGGTGCGTTGTGAGGTTTCCACCAGTCTCTAAGCTCGGTGGTCATGTACGAGTAGTATGTACATCTTAACGTAAGGTGTTGCAAAGGTCCACGGACGTTAAAGGAAAGCCAATGCCACCCTACTCGTTTCCACCGTTTGTGTCTCATACAAGGAACTCTACTATCGAGTATCTTCTTGATTCGTCAAACCAACACATACCAAGATGAAGTCTTCTGTCCTTCTCAGCTGCATCGCCTTCGCAGCTTCAGTGGCTGCTGCTCCTGTCCCTGTATATTTTTTCTGCCCAAGCCTTCCGTGCTCCAAGGTGTGAAGTACTAATAAGTATTTCTAGGACTCTGATACCGTTGCGAGCTACCAATGGAAGAAGGACACCGAGAGTACTGGTGGCGTTGCCAGCTACGAATGGAAGAAGGAGAAGAGAGATACTGCCAGCACTGACGCTGTTGCCAGTTACCAGTGGAAGAAGGACACTGCCAACACTGACGGCGTTGCCAGCTACCAGTGGAAGAAGGATACCGAGAGCACGGATGGAGTTGCTACCTACGAGTGGAAGAAGGAGAAGAGGGATACTGCCAGCACCGATGGTGTCGCCAGCTACCAGTGGAAGAAAGACACTGCAAGCACTGATGGCGTTGCTAGCTACGAATGGAAGAAGGAGTAGATAGCACGCAAGGGCTACTTCAAACAAATTGAAAATGTTTATCTATTACCCAGTTACTTGGACATAGTGAATTGCAAAAGGAGCCTGGTGGCCTTACCCGTCTCTGAGAGGCGATACGACGGCCCAGGCTCCCAAAAGCTGGCTCAATTTGCTACCGTTTGCAGGGAATGGCAGGTCTTCTTCGAGACTTATACTTTTCGGCGTCTTGTTCTCGACTCTGACTCCCTCGGCGAGTTTGACGCAATCATCAGACGACGTGACGCTTGTTTGGGGTATATCTGAAAAGTATGGCTTCTAATCCGGCTCGGAAAGTACGAGTGCCCCGATTGTGATGAACCGGAGGATAAGGCAACACAGCATGGGTATGTCGAGCATTCAATATCTCCTACTGCTGTTTTAATGTTAATTGAGCCTCGCAGCAACAACCTACTATTCACAACGTGTATTCATTCTCTCCTCAGGACTCTTAAGCTCTGGGATCCGGCGATTCATGGCGCAAAGGGACTGACTCTGATGCTGTCTGCATCCTCGCCCAGCGATACAGAGCATCGGTTCGGTCGATGCGAAATGAAGGACAATTATCCCTTTCACTACGCCGAAGACCTTGATCTCGCACCGGGCTTGATTCAATTCCACCGGGCGAACGTTGCTGATCCGTACATCTACGTTTTTCACGGTGACTGTGGTCCGCCATCGCACAATGGACACGCCCAAAGGCTTCGGGGAACTCCGCTCCGATTAATACAGAGGGGTGATCGAGGCAGCTTTGTCAACATGGAAAAGAGTCTTCCTGGCGTGCCCATGGTCAAAGGACTGGTCAGGCGCAGACAGTTCCGCAGGGAGATCCAGGTAGGGGCACTGTCCTGGCTACTTACCAGAAGCTTTGTGGCACTGGAGTGGTTCCGCTTCGAGAGGACTGTTTACCAGGAGCCTCAGCAGCAACTCTCCTTTGAGCAGGGTACGTAACGTGGAGTCTTTTACAGCGAGAGTCTGATGAAGTTAACAACCTTCTCTCAGGCGTCCAGTCACGCTTACTGCCATCACTGCCGAGAACCTTGCGCCAACTCTCCTTTACGCAGTGGAAGATCCCCATCATTGAGCGCGGTTTTGGCCTCGAGCAAGTAGGATCCGAAATCCCTCCGCATGCTCGAGCCCAGCTGCCACGGGAGATGGCAAAGCTTTCTCAAAGACTGGAGCAGTTCTGCCCGCCATGGCAGATGGACACAGCTGCCTTTTTTCATTCCATCATTGAACTTGGAGATTCATCCGCGATGCTTCAAAGCTCCCTGAAACGCATCATTCTACGTTGTCCGCTCTCAAACACGGGCACAAGCGGACAAGATTTCGGATCCATGGTGCTCTTTGCAGCCAAAGCGGCTCTGTCGCTTCCCCATCTGGAAGTCATCGAGCTTTGGGGTATCTGCCTCGACGAACACGGAAGCCACGCTTACATCTTCCAGTACGCCTACGAGGACAGCCGAGCCAGCATCGTCTGGAGGAGCTCTGAAAAGCCCATGGTGTCCCAGGCGCGGATCATCGCCAAGTGGGACGAGGTGGCCCAGAAGCACTCGCATTCTGCTCTCACGTACAGCTTTGTGCCCTTTGTGGAGACAGAGGCAGAGGTTCGCCGGAGTGGTGGACTCTGCGTAATTCGATATTTACGGCTAGAATATCTGTTGGTTGACCCAATTACACGGAAGGCCCTGGAGCACCATTCTCTTCAATGGGGTCCAGATGACAAAAGCGATTCATTGCAGCAAGATGATCCTCCGAATCCAAGTCTCGCACACCCAAATTCGTTGGGTGGCCCAGCACTGGATGCTGACCTCTCGTCACTGCAGGCGGAGATGACGGCTTTCGGGGCCAAAGTCAAGGCCTTTCTCCAGCAGAATAAAAGGTTTCTATGGACCGGGATATAGAGCGGGTCGGATCAACTGATTTACTTGAGTCATCTGGATCAGGGTGCAAGCTGGTTGCGGAATACGGCGGGCATTCAAACAGTTGACAATGTAGCAAAGCCAGGAGGTGGCATTAATTTTAAAGAGAGACTAGCTATCCAACATCCCATGATAATACACTTTTCATCTTCTCGATTTTCGTTTTATTCCTGTTTCCTTTTCTTACGCTGCACCACCACGTCCTCCAACACCCCATTTGGCCTGCGCCTCGACAACACCGGGCTTAATAGCCGGCAGCTCCCTACCACGGCTCGTTGGGAATGGCAGGAAATGGGTTTCGGCGAGATACCTCAGGAAGCGGCCAACAGTTTCCCTGCTGATGCCCTCTCCAGCACTCTCATCAACACCAGTCCACCGGTCTGCATCGGCCTTGAGGACAGCAACAGCATTGCGATCATCCAGTTCCGGCGCACGAGTGGTTGCGGGGAGATTATTTGTCGCCATGTGGAAAAGAGGCATCAGAGCGCTCTGTTCCTCGTCCTTCTGGATAGGACCTGCGGAGACAAAGGTCTCAAGCTGGGCCTTCCAGTGGTCGTAGTCCACCTCGGGAACATCGTAGCCGTAGTAGCTCAGAATGGAGAGGTACTCGTTCATACGCAGGCGAGGGTGGGCAGTGACGTGGATGACGTGAACGCCGACATCGCCGCTGCTGCTGTTGCTGGTTGCAGTTTCGGCCGGGACGGGGTTCAAGCTGGCTGCGACAACGACAGTAGAGACGTGGCCTACAGGCACGGCGTTGACAGTGTTGATGATGTGCGGACGGCTGGATAGCTGGATACAGCCCTTGAGCATGCGGATCAGGAAGTCGTCGGTGTTGCAGACACCGGTGGAAGCGTCTCCGAGGATATAGCCAGGTCGGACGACAGATCCGAGGAGGCCGCGTCTGCCAGCTTCGCGGACGAGCTGTTCAGATACCTGTAGTCCATTAGCATCAAAGTCACTCACTATGCAAAGGGGGGCTGGTAGGCTACTTACCCATTTGGTCTGGCCGTATCCGGTGCCGAGACCGGTGCGACTGCCCATCAAGTCATCTGCTTCCATGACAGCGCCTTGTCCAGTGCTGGTCTGCTCTTGGGACAGCTTGATATAGTAATCCGTGTCCAGAACGCTTGTCGAGCTGACGAATGAGAAAAGCTTGGGCTTGCCCTGGTTGCAAAGCCGCAGGGCATCAATTGTTGATAGAACATTGCTGCGCTCGAGGTGCTTATACTGCTTCACCCAGTGGACAAGGGCGCCGTTGTGGATAACCACATCAACAGTGTCGCTGAGCGTCTTCCAGGTGTCGTCATCAAGCCCAAGACGCGGCTGTGCTAGGTCACCAATGACTGCACTGAGCCTGGGGGCCCAAGAATCCTGCCATACGCTGTATCCGCGGAGCGAATTCTGGAGTCGCTCGAGGGCGGCCGCGACGCCCTTCGTTCCACGAACATGAGCAATGACGTGGACATTCTCGCGCTCGAGCAAGTCCTTGACGATGAAAGAACCCAGAAAGCCCGTGGCGCCAGTCACAAAGACGGTCGTCTTGCCTGTCGGTGAGAGTGCCGCAGGGTCCGCCGTCTGGTACTTGGCATCAAGGCTACCGAGCAGCTTGTCAAGCGCCTGGGCATATGCTGCCTCGCCGTCCTCTGTCGCGCCCGAATCGTCCTTGCCCTCACGCTGGCGGTCAATCTGTGTGGCAAGAGCCCGGAGGGATGAGTTCGAGTACAGTGAGCTGATGGTGACATTGGCCCCCATGTCCTTGCGAATATTTAGGAGAAGCTGTTGGGCCAGCAGACTGTGCCCACCAGTCTCAAAGAAATCAGACTCAGGCCGCAGGGTCTTGGCGTTCAAACCGCTGACCAAGGTTGCCCACTGCTCTGCCAGTTCCTTTTCGGTGCTGCTGAGCGCCTCCCATCTCTTCAGATCTTCCTCTGAAGCCTCTTCCGAGATCAAAGCCGCGTCCGGGAACGGCAGGTTTGGACTGTCGATCTTGCCGTTGGGGTTCAAAGGCATCTTCTTCAGGAAGATGAAATAAGTCGGGACAGCGTGAACTGGCAATCGAGACTTGAGGTGATCCCGGATCTCCGCTTGCATTGGCCGGAAGCGCTTGGAAAACACGGTGACGGGTCCGATCTCGGTACCTTGCTCTTCAGTGTCTTCAAGGTCGTGCTCCGCTAGCCACTTGATCCACTCTTGTTCTTCAGGCACAATATAGCTGACCAGTGTTGGCTCTTCGTTCCGATCTCTTCGAAGCAGCGTCTTGCACTCGCGGACCAACTGGTGTCCTCTCAAGTTGCTATCGATCTCATTGAGCTCGATGCGGAAGCCACGAACTTTGACTTGATCATCGGCTCTGCCCGTGATTGCGCAATTACCGGAATCATCCAAGAAATAGCCCAAGTCGCCAGTCCTGTAGATTCTGTCTCGTGGGCCTTTGTAATACTTTCTCCAGGGTTCCTTGACGGGATCGGCAACCTTGTTATCAGCTTCAACCCACTTCTGATTGTCAACGAACCAGTTGTCAATGAACTTCTCCTTGGTCTTCTCCGGGTCATTCAGATATCCGTAAAGTCAAAAGTCAGCAGGAACCTATCAGAAAAAATGAACGGGAGACTTATCTCGGCCAAGCCTGCTGATCTCAGGTAGATCTCACCGACCTCACCGACGCCGCAAAGCTTGGTTGGATCCTCCCGGTTGACTACGAGGAGCTGGACGTTTTCGATGCCGCGTCCGGCAGGAACAATATCGCCGAACTGATCCAATGCTTTCGGGTCTTCGGCGTGGCTCTTGATGTGGTAGTATGACACGCTGCGGCTCGTCTCGGTGGTACCATACGCAGCGCAGATGTCCGCATTAGGCGCCAGCTTGCGGAGCGAAGCGCAATCCTTCTTGGTCAGGATATCGCCAACATAAAGAACCCACTTCAGTGAAGGGAACTCAGCCTTGGCACCGCCGCACAAGATCTGGCCCATGGCGGGCGTCAAGTGGACCGCATTAGGCTTGTGATCGCGGAACCACTCAGCCAACCTTTCGTGGGCAATGTTCTCGCGAGCAGGGATAATAAGCTCTCCGCCCATGAAAATCGGAGTGAAAATGTCTCGCTGGATAGGATCATGGCTTATACCACTGTAATTGGTTAGCAGGGGTGCGATTGGTATCATCTTCGATAGGGTTCAAGGTACCTGAGACAAGCAAACTTTGTGTCCGAGGTCCAATTGAAAGTTTTGGCCATCCACGGGTAGTACCTGGCCAAGCTGTAATGTCTGCCCAAGACGCCCCTGAGTATAGTCAGCTAGTGCCCGAAATCTTGAGAATTGCTAATCTCGTACTTGGGTGTGGAGGTTGTGCCACTGGTGAAGCTCAGGATACTTGTTGAATCCGGTCCCACGAGAACATCTGGAGGCGATGATGCCTTGCTTTCAGTGTTCGTAAAGACTTCCTTGCCGTCGACCTCGCCACCGGTAAGATGGCCATCATCGCTCATCCGTAGCTCAGGTACTCGGATCTTGAGAGATAATTCCTCGTCAATGTATTTCTGGACACGCGGCGCGAAAGTGCCATTCTCGTCCCTGGCCCTGCCAATCGTAATCAGAGCCTTTGGTTGTGAGACTTCAAGGTAGATCTGCTGTCTAGCCGGAGGGTATGCTGGGTCCAGAACGGTAATGGTGGCGCCGGCAGCAAGGGTTCCCATGAAGGCGACGATGAGTTCGACGGAACGGTAGGCAAAGATCATGACGACATCGCCATTCTCGATGCCAGCTTCACGGAGCTGGTTGGCCAAGATGTTGGACGCCTCATAGATCTGCCTGTAGGTGAATCTCCTCTCGGGCGTGGTGGAGGAGGCCGTTTCGGTAACGCACGGCGCGTCGGGATGCTTCAGGGCATTCTTGTGGAATATCTCATGGATGGCGCCGATGTAGCTGCTCCATTGGAGGTCAACGGTGGGATCGGGAAGCCCCATGGCTGCAACAGTATGGCAAAATCTATACTGAGCTGGAGGTCGCCTCGTAGAGAATGCGTCCCTGGATCGTAGTCCAAGCTGATATTCAGAAAAGAGCCGTGTCTACTAGGAATTGAGAAAGATGAATCATATCTAAGAGCTTGAATATGAAAAGAATTTTGCCGCTCTCCGATCTTCGGGGGAGGGGCACTTTTTCCTATTACGGTAGGCGGTCGGGAGCTGCCCTTACCTTTATGTCCTACCTGTTGGCTCCACTGAATTTTTTTGGAGCCTGGCGGAGGCAGGTGCAAGTCACAGTACCCCGCACTATCAAACTTCCAGGAGACCTTTGTATGAGTACTTATTCAACTTGCCTTACCCGAGAAACGGCTTGAAGTATTCCTTCATATGAAGAATCTTTGAGCCATAAAGCAGGATTCTACCAGACACCGCAAAATAAAAGATACATTTTGTGACAGCCAAGTAAATCTACATTACAAGTACTGGCATTCCTTCCGTGTATTTCTAGATACGTAGCTACATAAATTACATGCATCACAGCTGCCTTATGCATGTCCACTTTGCGATGTTACCTCCCGTGAGCAATTGGTATCTTGATGAGTCTTCTACAACACCCGCCTCGCTGCGCTCTTTTGCTTATTTTGATATGCTGATACCCTTGGAGTGTAAGAAAAGGAGTCTCGCCAAAGACTTGGTTCGTAGCGTGGAAAACATGGGCCATTGAACTGTCTAGTTCACGCGGATGGCTCGTGTCAGAAGGAGAGGTCGACTCGATACAAGAACTTTATGGGACCAGGATCTTTCCACCGGTCATGCTCGTATGTGCGCATAGACTATAATAATCTGCCCGATATTGAAGGTTTCATGATTGCATTGCTCTACTAAAGTGACAACATAGGACAAACGCCAACGAGGGAACAATTGGAAAGGTATCTACCAGTGACAACAAACTTGATCCATATTCCGCATATATCGGAGAGATGGAGCCTCGGTATTTGGCAGCTTTGAGAGATGCATACAAATCTACTACCGCAATCTATCGGGGTTTTCCATAGAGGCAGCAAAGATACTAGGCGTCCGCTTGTCTGCTTGTTTGCCTGCTTGCAGCTCGGTGATGGCTGACTTCTAACGAGGAACCTACGACGAGTGAGTAAAGTGTATAAGGTACTATGTAGGGAAATCTACATGTAGGTTTATGCTTGGGAAAGTCGAGCAATACGACAAGGATTCGGAGTTTAATACGGGCACATAGTCTCTGTCTATGTTCCTCGAACGAGCGAGCACATGATTGGTGAACCCCTTTTTGGGACTTACAGGATATTGGTTGACTGGTCACACTACCTACCAATCAGGCTCCCATGGCAACTGAGGCTGAGTGCCGCCGCAGATGCCTGGAAGCATCTCGATTCCTTCAAATCATCACTCTTCGCTTCTCCAACTATTTGAGATTGCCCCAAACCGTGTCCGCATATACTCGTTTTACACCATCCAAGTCTACGAAAGCGCCTCGGAATCGGATGCGAGCATTTCAGTGCCTCGGGTCGAACTTGCCAAATATAAATACTCTCGTGATGCAAGGTATCAGCTGAATCAACCTCGCTTTTCCTTGCTGAGAGGGCGGGGTTCTCTCACTGCAATCACCACTACCAGTCATCAGCCAAGATGTCATTCTCTTCGGCCAGTCCTCCATCGGCTGGCTCTGAAGCTGACTGTCGTCGGCCTTCTCACCGAAAGGACTTCCAGATTGCGATCATATGTGCTTTATCGCTCGAGTATGATGCTGCCACTCTTCTTATCGATGAGTTCTGGGACGAGGACGATAAGCAGTACGGACGGACTTCTGGGGACGCCAACACATATCGCAACGGGCGAATCGGCATGCATAACGTCGTGCTCATGCTTCTACCAAACATGGGCAAAGCCGCAGTTGCTGGCTCGGCAGCCAGCCTGCGGACGAGCTATTCAAGCTTGAGAGTCGCCTTTCTTGTGGGAGTCTGTGGCGGAGTCCCTTTCCTTGGGTCACAAGAAGCGCTGCTGGGAGACGTGGTGATTGGCGAGTCCATCATCCAATATGACTTTGGCAGACAGTATCCCGGCGAATTTGTTCCTAAAGAGGCCATTGATGCTACCCAAAATGTGCCAAATAAAGACATCCGCACCCTGCTGGCCTATTTCAAATCCGAGATGGGGATGAAAGACCTACGGAAAAGCACCGCCAATCACTTGAGAGTTTTACAACAGACGGCAGAAATGAGGCGTTACCGACGATGTTACAGCTACCCGGGGCCCACCGAAGACAGACTATTTGAAGCAGCCTATCGCCATAAGCATCAAGATCGATCATGCTGTGGTGAGGTTGAAAGGTTCTGCGACGAGGCTGCACAATCTGCCTGTGCAGAGGTGGGATGCGACGAGAAACAACTCGTCACTCGGCAGCGGCTAGAAGCAAAGCGATACCTTAAGGCGGAAGAGGCGCAAGGTCCAGAAATTTACATCGGACGTGTTGCATCAGCAGATACGGTCATGAAGTCGGGGATCCATCGGGACCAGATCGCCAAACAGCACAACATCCTTGCCTTCGAGATGGAGGGCGCCGGCCTTTGGGACGAGGCTCCCTGTATCGTCGTCAAGGGCATTTGTGACTATGCTGACAGCCACAAGAACAAGAATTGGCAGCCCTTTGCAGCGGCAACGGCGGCAGCCGTGGTAAAAGCCATGCTGGGACGATATACCATAACAGATGATGTCGAACTTCCCGCCCCTAATGGTAAGATCGAGTCTTGTCCCACTGGATGGACACTATTGACAGGACATAGATACCAATCGGCGTGACCGCCTCCTTCAAACAAACGTCGAAATTGCACGTACTAGCAGGAACACGTCCTCATTCACCTCGGATCTTGTCCTTCTGGAGCCGAAAGGGACCGAAACGTTGCGAGATGCAATTTTTGATTTCCAAACGATACTTAGTCCCGAACAACGTTGCGAGTTGAGAAACGCCAGGAATGTACCTGATGCAGACGCCGTACTCATATTTACCGCTGAACTTGATTTGCTCAACAGGAACAGAAAGGGGCTCAGTGTTGCTAGTAGACTCTATTCTCTTCTACAGTCCGTGAGGGACTTTTCCGCCGTTGTTGAAAAACTGAGTCCAGCACACAATGGACTTGCTTCTCTGATATGGGGCAGCGTGACATTGACAATGCTTGTAAAGATCCCCGCATTGTCCTCCATCTGGTTGCGATGACACTAACCAAACACGTTAGGTCTCCATTAGAACAGAGTCATATTATGAAAGAGCCTCCAAGAACTTCATGGAACTTGGTCGCCTTTTCCCACGCCGTACGGACTATCAGATCCACTGTTCATCATCATCTCAGCTACAGAAAGCCCTTTGCAGCTTTTACGCGTCGTTTCTTCGTTACTGCAAGCGTGCAGTGCAATCTTCCCTAGGTCAATGTATGTTGTGACGAACAGTTAAACAGAGGATAATTTCTCCTAGGTAACTGACGGTTTCGTTTTCTAATTTCACATAGGTATGTGAAGCTACTCCGAGTTAATCAGTTCATCTCACCCTAACAGCAAAAAGGGCCGAGCTATATTCCCACGCATCTATGGAGCCCTTTACAAGAAGAATTTCAGCAATACGCAATCGATATGGAGATACACAGCAGAGACGTCAAGAAAGCAATCGCTCTCGCTGAAGCAAAGGCGCATGATCAAGATCGGAAGCTCCAGACTATAGCTCAGAAGAAAGCTTCCAAGAGTGAGAAATTGAGAAGAATGCTCTCACTAGACAATGAAAAGTCGGCCATAATCGCGGAGTTACAGTCGGAAGTCGACAGGAGGAGAGCCATGGAGCGAAGGCAGCAGCTGCTCGACTTTCTGTCAACCCATGACTATGTGACTCCTCTGAAACAAAGTCGGCGGAAACGATATAGCGGCACATTGGAGTGGCTGTTCAAAACGAAAGAATTTGATCGATGGATCAATGACTCCAAATCCCCATTGCTCTGGTGCTCCGGAAAGAGTGAGTTGCCAGTACACTACAACCGAGGGAGCAATCGTTCTGACTAGTTACAGTTGGCTCTGGCAAGACGATTCTCACGTTAGTACAACGATGCGGTCGTATAAAAACCTATTACGGATTCTAATGGCAATGTGTAGGGCGAGTTTAATTGACAAGCTCTTGACAGACAAGCGGAGACCAGACGTGTTTGTCTCTTTCTTCTTCATACAGTTCAATGACCAGCAGTCTTTGAATGCTGAAACTATACTCAAGTCGATTATTCAACAAGCACTCAATGCGTCAACTCTCTCCAGGGAAATCGAGTTCTTGTTGGAACGGATGAGGCTCAGCCTGTCATCTGGACTTCAGGACCTTCTCGAACTACTACGTAAGATTGCCGCATCCTTCAAAACATTCTACATCGCCATAGATGGTCTAGACGAGTGCAGCAAGCAAGACCGAGGGGATCTTCTCCGGATTCTCTCTTCACTTGTGGCAACTGGATTAAACACCAAGCTCTTCCTTGCCGGCCGTGAAAGCGTTTCGAGTGAAATACAAAACACATTTACAAGCACCGACAACTATCTTTTTATGGGATGCCCATCGGTTCATGTTGATATCGCAACCTATGTCGAGGGGATAGTCGAGGATAAATTACGGAGCGAAGAGCTCATAGTCGAGGATTCGAGCCTTATTGAAGACGTCAAAGTTGCACTGACTGGAGGGGCCGATGGCATGTGAGTCTCTCAAAAGGATCACAGTATCGATCATATGCTAATTGATTCAGGTTCCTGTGGGTATCATTTCAGATGGATGAACTCGTACTGCAACGGTGTGACGACGACATCCGAAGGGCCATTCATAATCTACCCAAAGGCCTAGAAGAGACATTTAACCGGGTAGTCGACCGAATCATCTGTGGCAGAAACGAAAAAGTTGCAAAACAGATCTTTCGATGGGTTGCTGCTGCAAAGGAACCCCTAACCCTAGATCAGCTGCGCGAGGTTATCTTCATCCAAATCGGACAACCGTATCTGAAGCCGGAGCGGCGTCCTAATGGCATCAAACACATCAGCTCATGGTGTGAAAACCTTGTCCAGGTCGATGAGGAAATGAAGACCGTCCAATTCGTCCATCAGAGTGTTCAGCGGTTCTTCATTGAAAAGGTCCACGACGCGCGACACAACCAGTTCCTCATAAACATCGAAGACGCGGATCACTACATTGGTGAAATATGCGTAACATATCTCAACTTGAATGACTTCAAAAAGACTTTGGCCCAACGACAGCAGCCATTACCGCCTATGCCGCCGATAGCCATGGCAGGCACGGCTTTACGACCCCAATGGAAGGCAGCCGCCTCCTTTTCCTCTCTCTGGAAGTTCAATTTGGATACTAGGGGAGGTTCAGAAGCTGCTACTGCCATGGAGGCTACGACACGCGGCGATAATGCAGGAGACCCGCGTGAAAGCATAGACGTGAGACATCCTTTCCTGACCTATGCCTCAATTCACTGGATATTCCATACAATACAATTTGACAGAGACAAATCCAAGACATGGGCCTTGTGGAAAGAAATGATAAGCGATGAGCATGAGCTCGCGAAGAAACCATGGAACGAAGAAGTGTCCAGTAAAAGCAGCAAGGCTGTGCTGGAATGGGGCTGCAATTATAACCACTACGCTCTCATACGGCTCTTGATTCAGGCGAATATGGTGACAACCGACGACAAAAACCAAGTGCTACTCGAGGCGATAAATAAAAGCGATGTCACACTACTTGATATCGTTCTCGAGAATGGAGGCCCGGACCTTGAGATCAACCATGCTTGCCGAGTAGCGGCTGAAGGCGATCAGCTTGATATCCTCGGGATGCTCATAGCCGCCGGAGCCGACTATCAGGCTGCAATACTGTCTGCTGCTCAAAGTGGCAGGAAATATGTGATCGATTATCTCCTGACTGTCGGCGATGCCCAGCCTGCGATGCAGGCCGCTGTTGAAGGCGACGATCGAGTAGCTGTTCGACACCTCATACGATCTGGTGTAGATGTTCGGATTGTATCACGGGCCGTCATCGAAGCTGGCAACCAAAAAGCTATCAAGTGCCTCAGACGTGTTGGTGTGGAGGGTTCGACTCTATTACAAGCCGCGATGAAAAGCACGATGGAAACCGGCAACAGCGACTCTATTCGAAGTCTCTTAGCCGCTGCCATTGTTTTGTTAGAATTCGCTGCCAAGGCTTGTGATCAAGATCTTCTCACATACCTATTGAACGCTCGTATAAATGGCGATACTGTATTACGAGTTGCCGCTCGTAGTGGTGATCACCACGCCGTCGAAAAGCTCTTAGCTGCGGGCGCCTACGGTTGGAGTGAGTTGAAGGACGCAGCCAAAAGCGGCGATCTGGATGCCATCAAGGGTCTGCTAGCCGCTGGTATGAATGGGCCCGATGAACTGTGCCTATTCATACGTCACTGCACCCTGAATCAGATTCGGAATTTCTTGGCTGCCGGAGTGGATGTCAATGCAGAAGGCAGTAGATCTGACTGTTCTGCGTTACAGCTTGCAGTTTCAAAAAATCGGATGGATGTCTTTGACGCCCTGCTTGATGCAGGAGCAGATGTCAATGCAAACTCTCAAAATGTGCGTGGCAGAACTGTATTGCATACTGCCATTGGAAAGGGCAACATTGAGATGGTCAAGAGGATCATAGCCGCTGGAGCCGACGTCAACATGAGAGCAGCTGGACATCGCAGCCGGACTGTGTTACAGAGCGCTGCCGAAAGCGGCCACATGAACATTGTCAAGCTTCTACTGAGCGCTGGGGCAGATGTTAATGCTGAACCAGCTGACGATGGTGGTGGAACTGCACTGCGGGCTGCTGCTGGAGAAGGCCATCTGGATATTGTCAAATTGCTCTTAGAGGCAGGGGCCGATGTCAACGCAGAGCCAAAGGGTCGGCAAGAAACCGCATTGCAAGTTGCTTGTTTCAAGGGCTATTTGAACATTGTTCAAATGCTCATAAACGCTGGGGCAGACGTCAATGCAAAGCCAACCCATCATTACCAGAACAAGTGTGCTTTACAGGCTGCAGCTGCTAACGGGCATTCAGGTATTGTCGAAATGCTACTGGCCGCCAGAGCAGATGTAGACGCAATATGGCCTACTATCAATTCAGGTCGAACTGCTTTGCACAATGCTGCTGAAGGGGGCTATCTAGACATCGTCGAAAAGCTATTAGATGCTGGAGCCAACGTCAATGCAGTGCCACTTACCGACTACAGCCACACCGCTTTACAGGCTGCTGCCAGATATGGACATCAGAATGTTGTTGAACGACTTTTGGCCGCTGGAGCAGATGTGAACGCAAAGGGGTCCAGCTTCAATTGGGGCAACGCTGCTTTACAAGATGCTGCTCTACATGGCCATCTTGGGATTGTTGAGAAGCTCTTAGACGCCGGAGCTGACGTTAACGCGTTCCCGAAGAGGGAAAATTCCCACACCCCCTTACAAGCTGCTGCTGTACACGGCGATATTGTTATACTGGAGAGGTTGTTGGCCGCTGGGGCAGATGTGAACGCAAAGTATAGCTGCGGCTACGGCGACACTGCTCTAGAAGCTGCTGCTAGAGTAAGACATATAAGGGTCGTCGGAAGGCTCTTGGCCGCTGGAGCAGAGATAGATCCCGAATGGGCTGCCAGTAACGATGGTCAGTCAGATGTACTACGGTGTGCTGCCGAAGAGGGCTGCCCAGCCGTTGTCGAG